AGAATTCCGGCAGTGTTATGGGGCAGAAATCGATAATAATAGGCCTCTCTCGTACATGAGTGATACACCTGATGCAGATGTATTAACACCTTCTCACCTAGCATGTGGAAGGAAATTGGAAGCTGCCCATGTCTACAGAGATAATCCGGAAGAAAGTGATGAAGATTACAATGATGCGGCAGTGTTGTGTAATAAATTTAAAATGTTAAATAAAGTAATTGATCATTGGTCTAATCAAATGTGTGGCGTAAGGAATATCTTCTTACACTACATGAACACTTTTATGGTGCGACAGAGGCAGTAAATCGACAGACCATTCAACCAGGTGACATTGTGTTAATTGACACTGAACAACATCGAACATTGTGGCCTCTGGGCAAAGTATTGACATTGTACCCATTTGCACAAGGTGTTGTCAGAAATGTCAAAGTGTTGTGTCGTGGCCAGGAAAGTTTATGCACAATTAATAAATTGATTCCCTTGGAGTTAGGTGTTCAATCAAACGTAAATGAAAATCTGAGGGAAAGTGACACGAGTGATATGGAAGATAACGCTGACCAAGTGATGCCAGAAAATGAAATCATAGTAAGACCTACTAGGAGAACAGCCACTCAAGATAGAACCGGCTGGAATCGTCTCCTAAAGGAAGGAGTAATTTGAGTCGTTTAGCAACGAACTCCGGCCGGCCGCAGTGTGGAAAATACTGTATATATTTTCCAGAAATTCAGTATGTGTAAATAGATGGCCATACTGTATTTAATAATATTTGTCATAGAAAACGGAAAGCTTGCATCTGCGCAGAGGGGACTCGCCATTTTGGTTTTGAAGTGGATACAACGTTAATATAATGGGAAGAATTTTTCGTGCTCTAGAGGTTAAAATTGGATTGACACCTCTCAAATAGGAGGTGAAACTGTTGGACATGCATTCCTCCATAACTTGAGACATCAGACGACTGGACAAGACAGCTCCAGGAACCTCAGATAAGCTCTCTAGATTTGTGTATAATTCTGGCCAGTATTTTCATAAATTTAGTTAGTGAGGTTTTTCTGAGTATGATACAACTTAATATCCAGTCAAATTGGTGAGTGATATTAAGATATATTTTCCTTCTGTTATGTAATTGTGTATATATATAACCATTTATTATTTTTAATATACAGTCCGAAAATTTATATATTTACCAGTATTCCTGGTGTATGTATATTTCATTTAATTAATAGGTCCAGAGCAACTTGTGGTTATGACAGTGGTAGGTATCGAAGGGGGACATTTTTGCGACCTAGGTGTCCCAGATTCCTACTTGTCTATGTAACATTGATAAATGATAATTATCTTTGTTATCATTTACTGTTATGTACATAATTAGTTACATTCAGATAAATGCAATTTTCCACAGTATTACTTTAACGCTATTTGAAAATAATCAAATCATATTCTGTTTGTTATCAGAAGGCTTTAGTAACTTTGTATCATACAGAACGCAAATTGAGGCAACAAAAGAAAAAATAAGTGTACTATTTTATATTTCGACTTTACATTAACAAACTATTGTATATACAGTGCCCATAATTTGTTTTATTGTCTCCATGTATGTTCATTTGTGTTAATGAGCGGCATTCTTACACTTCACTTTTTTGATTCTCCTTGTAAGTAATTAACATCTTCGACAAAACAGTACAGTACCTGCAAAGGCGTCCTTGCCAATTGTGTCTATGAGGTTGGAGGAGAGGTCGAGCACTGTAAGACTGGCGTAGCTGAAGGCGTTGGTGAAAACGATGGGGATACGGTTCCTCTTCAATACCAGTGTTGTTAGTTTAGGCAGGTCGTCAGTGCCTGACGTTACGTAGTAGCTGATCTCGTTGTTATCTGAAGGCCGCGACTTTGTTAAACTTAGTGAGGGACACAGTATGTTGAGTGTTAATGAAGAAGAAACCTTGTGTGTGTGTTTTTCCATAAGATGCTCAGTGTTGTGTATTTGTGTTAAAAAGGCGCACGAAGTGTGTTAGTGGTAGTGGGAATCCGACAGTATCTTAACATCGAACCCAGAGTGTATTGTGGAAAATACTGTATATATTTTCCGGAAATATGGTAATTTATAGGTAAATAGATGCCCTATATTGTATTTTTAAAAGAAGTATGTTATCGAAAAAAAGAAGAGACTCGCCATCTTGGTTTTGAATTGGATACAACGTTAGTGTAATGGGAAGAATTTTCGTGCTCTAGAGGTTAAAATTGGGCTGACACCTCTCAAATAGGAGGCGAAATTGTTGGACATGCATTCCTGCATAACTTGAGATATCAGACGACTGGACAAGACAGCTCCAGGAACCTCAGATAAGCTCTCTAGATTTGTGTATAATTCTGGCCAGTGTTTTCATAAATTTAGTTAATGAGGTTTTTTGAGTATGTTTACAACTTAATACCCAAATCAAATTGGTGAGTGTTTATTAAGATATATTTTCCTTCTGTTATGTAATTGTGATATATAAAAAACCATTTATATTTTTTAATATACAGTCCACAAATTTATTTATTTACCGTATTCCTGGTGTACGTATATTTCATTTAACTAATAGGTCCAGAGCAACTTGTGGTTATGACAGTGGTAGGTATCGAAGGGGATATTTTTGTGACCTAGGTGTCCCAAATTCCTACTTGTCTATGTAACATTGATAAATAATAATTATCTTGTTATCATTTACTGTTATGTACATAATTAGTTAACATTCAGATAAATGCAATTTTCCACTTTTTAAATTTTGTCCGTGGTCCTTCTTAAACCCGGAGGTAATTGGGTAAAGGGTCATTAATTAGTTAATTACTTAATAATTATATGTGAAATGACAGAAGGAGGTGGATGTTAAGTTCACAAATTTATTTAAGGTGTAGTGGATTATAATAATTACAATATTAATTTTGATAAGATAAGTCAAGTGTGGCTAAAGATTATATTAATGTGTATAAGTGTATGTGTAATTGATAAGCCAAGTGTAGCTAATTATATTAATGTGTATATTAATTTTGTAAAGTAAAAGCACACAAGTGCAACTAATGTGACATTTATTGTGGCAACGTTTCGCTCTCCATGAGCTTTATCAAGCTTTATCTTGTACGAATTAATTGCTCTATCATATTGTATTACTTTTGTCACTACTACTACTACTTCTACTACCACTATTGAACATCGAAATGTTACCTCACAAGTATTGCACCTCACTCTGAGCCTTTATATACCCTCTGTGTCCATGTATTGTTTGTAATGGCTTGATAAAGCTCCTGGAGAGCGAAACGTTGCCACAATAAATGTCACATTAGTTGCACTTGTGTCCTTTTCCATTTACTTTACATATTGTCGGTAATTCTACCAACTTTATTATATTAATTTTGCTATGCCAAATTCTGGCAAGGATTTATTAATTTGTGTATTATTAATTTTGATGAGCCAAGTTTGTATTAATGTACATTTAAAATTTATATAATTTTCTTGCACATGTAATTGCTGAGCTCAAGTAGCTGGGATTTATTCAAAGGTAAGTTGTACTATTTACCTTTATAAAGTGCATAATTTAGTTCATAATCAGTGTTATTAAGTTGAATTTCATACATTGCATCATGGCTGAAAATGAGGAAATTAACATAGAAGACAAACATAGGGGAATATAGAGCAAAGAAAGCTCACTGCAAGCTAGAAAGGGTTTGTAACCAAGGCATATAATAAATGTTTGGAATTAATGAATCAAGAAACGTGAAAAACTGATGATTTAAAATTTATTTAGATGCTTTAGGTAATAGATATGATTCATACAAATTATTTTACAACAAATATGAAGGAGATTTGTTAGTAAACTGTGTAGTGAGATGAAGTAGATCTTATGATTAAATCAGTATTATGAATTAGAGGAAAAGATTCTTGTAAAAGTCAGGCCTTGAATAAATTAATATGTGTAAACCAGGCAGTTAATCAGTCTGCTCCAACAAATAATATGACTTTGACAAAACTCCCAGAACTATGTTTACCTGTATTTAATCCGGGGTGAAAATTGGGAAAAAATTTTGGTCAATTTTAAAGCAGCTGTGCATGACAGGAGTGACCTAGCCTGTGTAACTAAATTATTTTACCTCAAAGGACAGGTAGAGGAGATGCTCACATACTCATACAAGCCTTTCCCAATGTAAATGACTCTTACAAGGAAGCAGTTGACTGTGAAAGTCACTTATGGTAATATAGAACAAAGTAGGTTGGATCTAGTGAATATCATTATTAATTTAAAATCTCCAGATTATACTTAAAAAGGTTTACAGCAGTTTAGAGTTAAACTGGAGAGCACTCTCAAAACATTAGTAATAATAAATCTGAAGGAATGAGACTGGTTATGAGTGCCATTGTACAGAATTAAATTAAGCTGTAAAACACTTGAATGAATCTCGAATAAATATCACAAAGGTTATTTTGGTCTGGACGAAATAAGACTAGGTCTACAAGAATTAATTGTGCAGTTGCAGACCAGCCCAAACCCAACTCATTTAAAGATGCAACACATAATAACTCTGAGGTATCTGTCATGTTTCACAAAGGGAAAATTATCCCAATGTTAATAATCAAAATTCATTTCCTAAAAATAGTTGCATTGGTACATATCAAGTAGCAGGAATCAGAAATAATGATTCTCCACAAGGTAAGAAGAATACGTACCCTCCTAAGAGTAGCACAGTTAATAAGAAACCAGTCAAAGAAAAGAGAGATTGTCTTTTCTGCAAGGGTACTCATTTTTCTAAGAATTGCAATGCATACAAATCATGGAATAATAAAATTGAAAGATTGGAGGAACTTGACAGATGTATCAGGTGTTTGGGTAATCACAATGTAAAGGATTGTTATGCCAAATTAAACTTCTGTTATCAATGTCACAAAGGAAGACACCATGTTGGCAACAACGTTGGTCAACTCTGCTCGGTAACAAACTTCATTCTATTAAACCGAGCATAGGTTACTGGCCATCTTCTTGCCACCAGTGCCGAGGTTGGGAGACCACTCTCTCCCGCCTTCGCATTGGTCACACTCGTCTTACTCATGGGTATCTCATAGAGAGGCACCCTGTTCCTCTCTGTGAGCAGTGTCAAGTTCCAGTATCGATTAGCCACATTCTGTTAGACTGCCCTCTCTATCAACGAGCACGCAGAATTTACCTCCAACGTCGTCTTCGTTCTACTACTCTCTCTTTACCTTCCCTTCTTGCTGATGGACCCTCCTTTAATCCTGACTCTCTCATTGACTTCTTGACAACGACTGATTTACTCCACAAACTCTGATGATACTTTTCGCACTCCCCTCAGCCCTTTCTAGTTCAGTCTCTTGCTGCCCTTTACCCTTTCACCATCCACTACCCCGCTGTTATCCGTAACCTATTACTCATCCATCTCCCTTTTGCCACCTGATGCCCTCGCTTCCTTCCTGCCCTGCAGCGCTGTATAGTCCTTGTGGCTTAGCACTTCTTTTTGATTATAATAATAATAATACAAATACCATAACTGTGTGTCTTACTCATGAAATTGTACCCCAGTATAATTCTTCCATAGAGGATGGTGTTGAGCCAGTGCATAAATTGTGGGAATTAGACAGCATTGGAATAAATGTAAATGAAGAAAGTCCAGACGATTCTTTTACTCAGGAGCAATACCTGAGAGATGTAAAATTTGAATCTGGACAATACTGGGTGCGACTTCCATGGAGACTGAACCATCCAGAATTGCCCACTAATTACAGAAAGGCATATGGACAGTTAAAGTCTCAGCTCTGCCAACTGAGTAAGACACCAGAATTGTTAACTGCCTATAATGATATAATTGCTGAGCAGTTAATTAATAAATTTATAGAAGAGGCACCTCCTGAGCAAGCCAGAATTTATGGTCACTATTTGCCCCATCACGGAGTGAAGAAGGATTCTAAGACCACTCCTTTGAGGATTGTGTTTAATTGTAGTGCCCCGGAGTAACAAAAATGTACCTAGTTTAAATGACTGTTTGATGACAGGTCCGTCGTCGACGGAAAAATTAGGAGATATTAAATTTCAGAGTGAAGCACTATGCCTTTACGGCTGACATAAGTACAGCTTTCCTAAGAGTGGGTTTACAAGAGGCTGACCGGGATTGTACCCGCTTCTTATGGCCTGAGAATCCTAGTGACCCACTTAGCCCTCTGAAAACCTTTCGCTTTAGGAGCGTATTATTTGGTGCTACATCCAGTCCGTTCCTACTTCAAGCGACGATAAATGCACACCTTAAATGTATGGAAAGTTTCCCTTGAGTAAAGTAATGAGCAAACAATTTTATGTGGACAATTTCCCGGGTGTACGTCAACTGAAGAGGAAAATGGTAATGACTTATGGAGAGGCTAATGAAATAATGCAAAGTGCTAATATGCCTTGAATGAAAAGGGAATAGAAATTTGTCCAAATTAAAGGACAAAATAAATAAGATTACCTGGAATGAAGTGCCAAAATGTAGTAATGTATTGGGATTAACTTGGGATACTGAGAGAGATTGTTAATGTTAAAAATATAATTACAGTATGCCCAATAAATTAACTAAGAGAGTTTTTTCTTGCTGAAGTTTCCAAATGTTTTGATCCACTAGGTTTAGTGTCACCCCTTACTATAAGAGGGAAATTATTTAAATCAGGAAGCATGGAAACTTAAATTGCTTGGGATGAAAATTCTACCTGAGGAATTCATAACAGTGGGATGAATTAATTGGTGATTATGAGAAAAATTTCCCAAAGTTTGGGGTTCCCATGCAGGTGGGGCCCAAACCAGATTGGAAAAAAAGTACTCCCCATTTTTTGTGATGCTTCAAAATTGGCATATGGAGCAGTTGCTTACCTTCAATGTAATAGTGTTATTTTCTTGTTATGTCTAAGGCTAAAGTGTCTCCCAAATTAAAAACACTACCTTACCTCAGTTGGAAATTTAACAGCTATTTATGTAGGTGTCAAATTAGCTAATTATATAAGAAATAAGTTGCACGAGATAAATATTGCGACACTGTAATTTGGTCTGATAATGAGGTATTCTTACAATGGATTCGTAATGGAAACAGTAAAATTGTGTACGTACAAAACAGAGTCGCTTAAATAATCATATGCAAGAGAAGTATAATAGTTTGGGTCAGCAAGTGTTAACATTTAACATGTACCCGGTGAGGGGAATCCAGCTGATTTTTGTCTCGAGGTTTACCTTATGCTAAATTTGTAAATGCTTATCATGGATTAAAGGACCGAGCTGGTTGGTAAATAAAGCCAGTTTGGGCCCGTACAAAAAGGGGTATATTTCTCCTGTTGAAAATTACTGTGACCACCGCTCCAATAGTTTGTCCTCCCCTTTGCCATTGAAATAAATAGGTATTCTTCTTTACCCAAACTAATTTAATGTAAACTAGTTGGTGTTAAATTTCTAAACAAGATGAATATTTCATTTTAAGTTTTCACATCCTCTTGAATATTGGATAAAGAGGGTACAGGGGGAAATCTATGAAAAGAAATTAAATTGATGATGGAAAGTAAAATTGTGAAAGGTTCTATTAAAAGAGAAATTGGGGCTGTATTTAGAGAACCAATGTAATTAGGTGCAGAGGTAGGTACAAAAGTGAAATTTGGGGGATTATGCTAACCCCCCTATCTTACTGCCCAAAACTCATATCTAACAAATTTGATTGTTCTAAATACCCATAAAAATGTAATGCATGGTGAGGTACAAGATACCTTAAATTGTATTAGGGAAACTTTCTGGATTCCACAAGGACGGCAAAGTGTAAAAAAGGGTGATTAAATTTTGTGTAATATGTCACCGTGTGGATGCCAGATCCTATATGTACCCAGGTCCTCCACCATTGCCAAAGGAGCGTGTACAATTAGTGAAACCATTTGATGTAACAGGTGTAGACTATAGTGGTCCAATAATTTTAACAGGTACGTCAGATGGTGTTCCACTGAAAGTGTATGTTTATTTGTTCACCTGTACTGCTACTAGGGCAATTCATTTAGAAGTGGCACAGGACTTGTCTGCAGAACAGTTTATACAACTGTTTCGAAAATTTGCAGCTAGGAGATCCTGTCCGAGACTGATGATTTCGGATAATGCCACAAATTTTGTAGCAGGTGCTCAACACTTGAGAGAATTAAATAATAGTAATGATTAATCTCTGTTAACCCAGCTAGGGTGTACCTGGAAATTTATTACTCCTAGAGCCTCTTAGCAGGGGGGGCTGTACGAAAGACTGATAGGCACAGTGAAGAGGTGTCTCCGCAAAGTACTACACCGGAAGAGAATTAATTTGGAAGAATTCCGTGCAGTGTTAGTGGAGGCAGAAAATCGTATAAATAATAGGCCTCTCTCGTACATGAGTGATACACCTGATGCAGATGTATTAACACCTTCTCACCTAATATGTGGAAAAAATTGGAAGCTGCCCCTGTCTATAGAGATAATCCGGAAGAAAGTGATGAAGATTGCAATGATGCGGCAGTGTTGTGTAATAAATTTAAAATGTTAAATAAAGTAATTGATCATTGGTTTAATGTGTGGCATAAGGAATATCTTCTTACACTACGTGAACACTTTTATGGTGCGACAGAGGCAGTAAATTGACAGAACATTCAACCAGGTGACATTGTGTTGATTGATACTGAACAACATTGAACATTGTGGCCTTTAGGCAAAGTATTGACATTGTACCCAGATGCACAAGGTGTTGTCAGGAATGTCAAAGTGTTGTGTCGTGGTCAGGAAAGTTTACGCACAATTAATAAATTGATTCCCTTGGAATTAGGTGTTCAATCAAACGTAAATGAAAATCTGAGGGAAAGTGACACGAGTGATATGGAAGATAACGCTGACCAAGTGATGCCGGAAAATTAAATCGTAGTAAGACCTACTAGGAGAACAGCCATTCAAGCCAGAACCGGCTGGAATCGTCTCCTAAAGGAAGGAGTAATTTGAGTCGTTTAGCAACGAACTCCGGCCGGCCGCAGTGTGGAAAATACTGTATATATTTTCCGGAAATATGGTCATTTATAGGTAAATAGATGCCCTATATTGTATTTTTAAAAGAAGTATGTTATCGAAAAAAAGAAGAGACTCGCCATCTTGGTTTTGAATTTTATATAACGTTAGTGTAATGGGAAGGAATTTTCGTGCTCTAGAGGTTAAAATTGGGCTGACACCTCTTAAATAGGAGTCGAAATTGTTGGATATGCATTCCTGCATAACCTGAGATATCAGACGACTGGACAAGACAGCTCCAGGAACCTCAGATATGCTCTCTAGATTTGTGTATAATTCTGGCCAGTGTTTTCATAAATTTAGTTAGTGAGGGTTTTTCTGAGTATGATACAACTTAATATCCAGTCAAATTGGTGAGTGATATTAAGATATATTTTCCTTCTGTTATGTATTTGTGTATATATATAACCATTTATTATTTTTAATATACAGTCCACAAATTTATATATTTACCAGTATTCCTGGTGTATGTATATTTCATTTAATTAATAGGTCCAGAGCAACTTGTGGTTATGACAGTAGTGGGTATCGAAGGGGGACATTTTTTGTGACCTAGGTGTCCCAAATTCCTACTTGTCTATGTAACATTGATAAATAATAATTATCTTTGTTATCATTTACTGTTATGTACATAATTAGTTACATTCAGATAAATGCAATTTTCCACATGTATTGTGTGTCTGTTAGGAAGGGCCAGGTGTGTGTTTGTAATAGTGTTTGGCCTGTATAGAGTTATCAGAGGACCAAGAGTGTGTTGTGTGTCTGTAATTAAGAGGTACAGAATGTTTGTGTGAAGAGAGGGGGCCCATACTGTGTTAACATCATACCCAGTGCGTGTTTATTAAAACGGCAAACATATGTGTTTGTAATAGTGTGAACGGGGATCCCTGAGTGTGTGTACGTGTGTTTTAATAAGGAGCCCAGAGTGTGTTAGTACCTGATGAACATTAACATGCTTACACAAAAAGTAATAAACGTTGAGAAATAGTGATTGATCTTGATTGTGGAAAATTTTGAATTTTCCAAAAATCAGCATATGTAAATTTCAATAATATAATAACTGTGTATTAAAATGATGCTGACTTGACCCCTCGAGAAATTTTGTGTGAAGGAAGGTGTGCAATGGCCGCGGAGTGATGCGGGGGGGGGGGATCGCCATTTGTAATTTGTGAGCACTGGTTATCGTGGAAAATTCAGCTAATAATCCAGCGTCATCGAGGCCAAATTGGGGTGCTTTGGCCTGAATTTGTAATAGAAACCCGTATTAATGTCCACTGTTGAAGAATTGGGACAGGAAATTTGCGGGACCTCCAGAATTGTGTGTGGCTCACACAGGGAAGTGTGGCATTAGTCCTTTCATTTAGATTTCTCACTGGCCAGTGTAGGAATCTATTTGTTAGGCAGGCGTTGTGGCGTGATCCATCTACAGTAATTAAATAGTAAGTGGTAATACGAATTTCTTTTCTAATAAGTCTATTGTATTCTGTGTATTGTACTATAGTTATGTTTTGTGTACCCAGCAAGTAAATCAAAATATACAGTCCACACAATTTTAATTTACCAGAGTAGCTGGTTTTAATATTGTAATTATGAATTTAATGTCAGGTCTAGCTTTTTGTGAGAGTAGTGATGGAGTGGGCATCGGGGGAGTGACAGTTCTGCGACCTCCTGTGACTAAGTCCCACTTACCTTGTCCAATCTACTTGCACGTAATAAAACCTCATGCATGTAATTTCTCATATTGATAGATATCTACCATCGCTGGAGAATAGAGATCCTAGCATGTAAAGTACACGAGACTTTGGCGGAATTATGCCAGACACACGCAGATCTTGTCAGATATATATAGGAAAAACATGTGCGGACTTGGATTGAATACAAAGGCAGGCGTCGACAGCCCACTTTAGGCCTTGAGAGCTTGACAAAAATTGATAAGAGTTTGACAGACCTTACAGAGAGCTTGACAGACCTTAAGAGAGCATGAGAGATCTTGAGATTCTTACCAAGGTTAAGTAAGGTGAGGGTGTTGGCGGAGTTGTTGAAGGCCTTGTTGTCGACGTGATTGATCTTGTTATCAGTGATGATGACCTGGGTGAAGGTGAGATCTCCCCACAGCTCCTGACTCAGCACCCCGCTCACGTTGGACCCTTGCAAGGTGAATCTGTCAACACAGTTCATCCTCAGAATGGTACTTTTAAACTCTCTGCATCAGCATTAAACTAAATATTTATTATTCATGGGGAAGTACTAAACCCATTAGGGTTACGCAGTTCCTAGGGAATGAGAAGCATTCAGTTTTGACTGAGGAAAGGAAGGGTAGCTCCAATTTCTTGGATCAAGAGTCTACCAGCATCAAGGCAATTCCCCCCCTCTCCTTGCAGGGCTTCAGGACATAAACCTGTGTGTGTTAGTCATACAAACTGTTGTCATGATGCCTTAAAAACGCCATAATACTAACCACTACACCACAACAGTCGCTAAATTGGAAGTATTAAGAGAAACCGGTGTATTACGTATAGTTTCAGCGTCTTTGTGTGTGTGTGTGTGTGTGTGTGTGTGTGGCGCCCGCGCGCGCGTTCACATGCACATTGTTAGTGGCATACCTGTTGCAGGTGATTTTATATTAATTCTCGTAGACAAGACTCTTTTAGTTCCCCAATCCCCCACGCAAACCTTGTCGTCGCACTGCCAGTGTTGTTTTTAGAGGTCGAGATAGCTCCTGGTCCCGCCTCATAGACTACTTTGATCAGCATCACTGATTTCTGGTCTCTTGTGCATTTTCATATTTACTCATGAAGTTGTGCATTGAGTTTGCCTCCACTGCCACCATCAAATCATTCCACTTTTCAAATATCTTGAGACTAAAGTAATACTTCATTACATTCCAATGGCTTATTTGTGTCTTCATCTTCCACTTGTCTCCTTGATCATGGTTCTTTTAATTCAAGCAGTCCACTCTGTTTCCAGTATATATTCCTTTAAGACTTGTCCATTCTGCTAATATCGACAAATTCAGCTGATTTAATCTCTTACAATGCTTCTTTCTCAGCTTTGGTAGCAGGCAGGTTTCAAACTTTCTGACCTTTGTGAGCTTCACGTGCTTGACCACGTTTTTAGTAATATGTCGTATATAAAATTTGGATTGATCTTTTTTCAAGTTCCTGAATGCAGTTCTGAGGTTTGCTAAACTTGCACGTGCCTCTACGTTATATGGTTTGTGTGTAATTCTGGTGCTATATTTGGCTTTGTGTGTGTGTGTGTGTGTGTGTGTGTGTGTGTGTGTGTGTGTGTGTGTGTGTGTGTGTGTGTGTGTGTGTGTGTGTGTGTGTTCACCTATTTGTGGTTGCAGGGGTCGATTCACAGCTGACCACGTCTCTTCGCTGATCGCTACTAGGTTCACGCTTCCTGTTCCAAGAGTCTTATCGTTCCTCTTTTTAAAGCTGTGTATGGATCCTGCCTCCACTATTTCACCCTCCAGATTGTTCCACTTCCTGACAACTCTGAGATTGAAGAAATACTTCTTAACATCCCTTTGACTTATACGAGTTAACTTCCAGTTGTATCTTCTTGTTCCTGTGTCCATCTCTGAAACATTCTGGCCCTATCCACCTTGTGAATTCTTATTAGTATTTTATACATCGTTGTTATCATGTCCATCCCATCCCTCCTGTCCTCCAGTGTTGTCAGTTGAGCTCGCTTAACCTCTTCTCGTTGGACATACACCTTAGCTCCGGGACTATTTTGTCGCAAACTTTTGCGCTTTATCTAGTTGCTTGACGTGTTTGACCAAGTGTGATTTCCATGCTGGTGATGCATACTCCAGTATAGGCCTGACGTACACTATGTACAGTGTCGTGAATGACTCCTTAGACGTTGAAACGTTGTTCCTAGGTTTGCCAGGCATCCAAATGCTGCATTAGTTATTTGCTTGAAGTGCGCCTCAGGAGATGTGCTGGGTATGATGCTTACCCCCAAGATCCTTTTTATTGAGTGTGTTTTGCAGCCTTTGACCCCTAGGCTGTACTCGGTCTGCGGTCTTCCTTGACCTTCCTCAAGCTTCATGACTTTACTTGGTGGGTGTACTCGTCTGTATGTGGTTGCAGGGGTCGATTCATATCTCCTGATCCCCACCTTTGTGTGTGCTCGTGCGTGTGTGTGCCTGCGCAAATAAGAGAAAAAATACGGAGAGGCAAGGTAATGCGGTATAATAGAGGACTCACCTAAAGACACTGGTGGTAAAAAAGTCTGTATGAGTGAAGAGGTCGTGAAGTTGCTCCGTGGTGGCCGTGCTGGGTGGGCAGGTGATGCTGATCTCCCCGGCCAGGCTCCCAGAGTTACCCACACACTGCAACACAGAAATATGGCTGTATTAATATCCGAAAAATGCTTAATAGAGTAACAAAAAAACAAATTACGTTTGCCAGGTTATTAGTGTTACGTGCCTCAGTCTACGTATATAGCACCAACATTTCCAGTCATACAGTACAGATTTACATCTTCAAGACTTAAATGCATCTGTACTCCACATTCAGGGTTTAAGGTATCCCCTGAAAGAGGATACCTGTAGTAGTTGTCATAATTTTTTCCTTCATCCCAAGTTTCCGTATCAGCATTCTGTTTTCAAGCTTTCACACTTGTGTATCATATTGGACTGTGTAGGTGCCAATTTACTGATTTTATTTAAAAATTTCCGGGTATTTTTCGAACATTGAATCTGGGAAGGCTTCTTACGAATGCCTTCAACCTTTAAATTCTGATGCATTTACTGGGTAACCCACTAAATAGGTACACCACCAAAAATCATGCACTCATAATACCCACCAATAAATCATGCACACAAAATACCCATCAATAAATCATTCACTCAAAATACCCATCAATAAATCATTCACTCAAAATACCCATCAATAAATCATATACTCAAAATATCTATCAATAAATCATTCACTCTACCCATCAATAAATCATTCACTCTACTCATCAATAAATCATTCACTCAAAGTACCCATTAATAAAGCATTCACTCTAAACACCTATTAATAAATCATACATTCAAAATACCCACCAATAAATCATTCACTCATAATACCCACCAATAAATCATGCACTCAGTACCTATCAATAAATCATGCACGCAATACTCCATCAATAAATCATTCGCTCAAAATACCTATTAATAAATCATACATTCAAAATACCTACCAATAAATCATGCACTTAAAATACCCACCAATAAATCATATACTTAGAATGCTCACTAGTAAATAATACGCTAACATTTGTTCCGATGTTGTATATATTCAACATAAAAAATTTCCATAAATAAATTTTGCCCTCATTATTTTATAATCAAATTATCATCAACTTTCCATTCCAACTTTGGTAGTTCTAGTCTTAATACCCCCTCAAGGAAGGTTCCTTGATGTTGGTGAGGGGCTCTTGATTTAGGGAATTGGATCTGTGCTCCAGTTCCCCGAATTAAGCCTGAATGCCTTCCACATCCCCCCCCCTAGGCGCTGTATAATCCTCCGGGTTTAGCGCTTCCCCCTTGATTATAATAATAATAATAATAATCTAGTCTTAATATTTCCTCCACATCTGTAATTGTAATCACACATGTATAATATTTAGCTGTGTATATTGTAGTTATTTTTTTTAAATTAGCTGTGTTTAATATTATTTTTTTTATGGGACCACACGATGTGAGGTGTATTTCTCTTGGTGCATATGTACTAACTTTACTGTAATCCTTATTTTAGGGATTAAAGCATTTTTGTCTGATGGTGAATAGGTCACTGTGTAGCCTTAATGGACCTTGTGAAGGAGATGGGCCTTAAACCCAAATAACCAACCAACCAAATGGGACCTGAGTAGTTTTCGTGTGTTTGTGTGTATATACCGAGAGGTTTATATGCACGTTTTAATTCTTTTTTAAAAAAATTACAGTTTTTAAGGAATAAAAGTATTCTTGATTGGCGGTGAACACGTTACTTGCAGCAAACCTAAATGACCCTCGAATAGGCGATAGGCTTTAAATCTAGTAACCAACTAACCATATGGGACTCTCCGATAGCATATAGGAGTACACGGTAGTATATAGGAGTACATGGTAGCATATAGGAGTATACGGTCGTATATGAGAATACACGACAGTATAAAGGCGTACACGGTATTGTATGGGAGTACACAGTAGTATATTTGAATACACCGTATACTTGAGAGTTTATTGTGGTACACGGTAGTACATAAAGCGTATGGCTATGACAGTACAGGAGAGTACACAAGAAAGATAACAGAAGACTTTCCGATCTGAAATCAGATTTATCAACAGATAAATATAAAATAACTATTTAAACTTCTAAAGCTCTCATTTTCGGACTTAGTGTCAGTATAACAAAAGAAGGCTCTTTCCCAATCCTCCTGCCCGCACTGACCACATGGAAAAACTAGGTGGCAAGAAAATACTGTATTAAAAAAAAAACAGTTATTCGGAAAGTAGGAGGTTTAAAACAAACTTTTGCACTACTTCTGTTATTGCAGAAGCGCCATTATTTTTTACAAGCTAAGAGCTGTTATCCTACCTCAGCTCATTTCAGAGCTCATCACTGCTAAAGGTATTCTGCCACCCTTCAGAATGCCATTCACAACAGTGGACTAACACAGATACCTATTTGATGCTAGGTGAAATGGGGCAATAGATGTAAGGAGAGTTAATATATCTCCACCTGCAAAGATCAACACAGGTCCTTCGTTACTACTGAGCTATGAGCCTCTTTACATACATAAATCTTATTTCTTTAGAAACGTTATTTAAGAGAGGTTATATTAGGTTAACATCAGTTAACCTAATCTTATACTTATACCATTTATTCACATCGGCCATTTCTCACCGAGGTAGGGTCACCCAAAGAAAAGCCTATTCAAAATCATTCGTTAATAGCTTTTTTGAGATAAGTGTATGGACATCACAATTCAAATGACCCTCTGAACTGCTGCTGTACTCCCTACCCCTAGGACTAACGTCCAGTTACTTTCGTTTTGTGAATCCCTTCATAAACGTTGTGTACCTTGTTCACACTCTAAAACACTAAAATATGCCTGCTGGATACTCAAGCCTCTATCATTCAAAAACTTAGCACCCTCCCTATATCCCTTCCTGTGACGACCCCTACCCCTTCATCCATCCGTCTCGGAATTATACACCTTGGTCAACCTATTGTTTTTCATCTTTTATAAATGACCGAACCATATTAGTAACCCCCTTTTTGCTCTCTGAATTATACCTGTCGTACCACAACACCACCAACTAATTTCCGAGCTCCTTATATTCTGCATAATATGCACACCATACATTGCTCTCAGATATGACTTGACCACTTCCTCCAGCCTCCTCCTGGCTGCTACCCATGTAAGTGTTGGTAGCATAACGGTTGTTGCTTAAATCATAAAAATACGAAACGTGTAAAATAACTATAGACTGCAAGAATACGTTTATTAAACCGTGGAATTTATTGTCAATAATCTAAATTTATTTGTTTTGAGTGAGTATTTGAATAGTTTACGTTATTAATTATATATTGCTTTATAACACTAAATTCGACATTATCCTAGTCATGGTAATATTGAATAAGTTTGAAACAGTTTTATTGTATAGTTGTGTAGGGTTCGGCTGTGACCATGAATATCTCGCCTAACCTTCACGAATTTTAGCAGAAATTATTATTATTATTTTTATTATATTATTTATTATATTTCATTGGAAAGAGCTAAACTCATATATGTCAAACAATACCTAGGGAAAGGAAGGTACTTGATGTATAATCCTAGGAAGGGAGAATAGTTCCAATTCTGGTTAACGAGACCTTCACAAGTCTCAAGGCGCCCCCTCCTTCCCTGGAAGGTTTCACTGTCCTACAGAGCCTTGTTCTTCGTATTCGTATCATATCATATCTTTATTTCTACAAGTACATGTACTTGTAGAAATAAAGATATATGATACGAGTACACAGGCCTACCTGACATCAGTGACACTACTAGATAGAAAGCCGCTTGTTATGCAGAACATTTCGGGGAAATTAGGTAAGTTTTGTCCCAGGATGTGACCCACAACAGTCCACTAACACCCAGGTACCCACTGTTACTGATGGGTGAATATGGACAACCGGTGTAAGGAAACACTCCCAATGTTTCCACCCCTTGGCCGGGAATCAAACCCGGGCCCTCACCGTGCGAAGCGAGAGCTTTTACCACCATGTACTATCTTTGCCACAACTTCCTAGGCAGACAGATGTAGAAAGACTAATTAATATTCCTCAACAGATAGCTTCGGAGTGGAATATATATATAAGGCCTTCAGCTATCTACATTTCCCATGTACTTCACCCAAGACACTAAACTATAATTACATGAGAAAGTACTGTAAAAACGCAAGTTTTATTTTACTTGTCAGGACTCTCATAAAACTTACTGTACAAGGTGAGAGGGGGTTCTTGCTATCTACGGTGGTGGGGCACAGGTCACACACAAAGGGCGGTGCTGTGCCTCTCATAGAAGGCCCATCGTCGTCAGATTCATCTTGCTGTCCTCTTGCCAAGTCTGCCTGACCATCGGGCATATGTTCTCTCGCTGTATTGCTCGTTGTAAGAGTAATAAGACTAAAAGGTGTCACTGGAGGCTCCAGAACTCTGGTTTTAGGGATCTCGTGCAGCACTCCATTTTCGTTAACACTACCCAAAAAATTATTTTGATTAATTAGGACACTGTTTCTAGTTTCTAGTTTGGAATCGATTAGGTTATTCTTATAAATATTATTTTTTTGAAGAGTAAGTATGTACTTTCTTAATAAATTCGATTCGAAGAGTTTATGTTCTCTGATATTAACATTGATGTTCGACGATATGCGACGTGTCAAAAGTTTAGTATTGGAAGCCTTGTCTTCAAGAGTACTCTGGAAGGCGCACACGCACACTATACAAGCCAATACACACCGTAATGAAAGCATAATGTGAATATATTAGCACAGATTTCTTGATAAAATATAATTATTTACTTTATTCTTCTGAGTATTACTCTGATTTGGCTGTAGTACAATATTCTGTTTGCTGACTCATTTTGTTTGACAATACGTTAAGAATATTTGTAGCATTTGTATTCACCAATGTTTCGTTGATGAGGTGCCTTGAGTGAATGAGTGTGATGGTAAAGTTCGTCAGAATATAAATGTGGTGGTGGTAGTGGTAACTATTTTTTGAGACGAGGTTATCACTATCCTGTCCTCTGGGAGAGTGAGACAAGAATGATAGCGAGCTTTGTCTTGTAACCATTACCGCCTGCTTGCTGTCTCTCGCGGGCACCGTTATTGACATACTGCCTAGCAATAGTCTCACTCATTAATGGGAGGAAATAGCAGTACGTGGATATATATCACCCGAGTTGGACAAGGTAGAAATGCCTATGTGTATGCGTGGGAAAGTGAAAGGCAGATATGTTGGTCAGCGTTTTGGGGAGGAGAGACAGTCAGGTTTGATCCGAGGAAGGAAAGAATAGCACAAGCGAAGGGGAATTGTAGCTCCTAGCCACCATCAATACCCCCTTATCCATCTCAATTTTTTCTTTTGTTGGTGTAGACGATATTATAAAACATTTCCAAGACCGATTAATTGTAAGCAATGAAAGCAGATATAACTGGTGTGTCATGTGTGTGGTAGTGAAGGGTGAGGGCGAGCACCTCGCGTGTCATGTGTGTGGTAGTGAAGGGTGAGGGCGAGCACCTCGTGTGTCATGTGTGTGGTAGTGAAGGGTGAGGGCGAGCACCTCGCGTGTCATGTGTGTGGTAGTGAAGGGTGAGGGCGAGCACCTCGTGTGTCATGTGTGTGGTAGTGAAGGGTGAGGGCGAGCACCTCGTGTGTCATGTGTGTGGTAGTGAAGGGTGAGGGCGAGCACCTCGCGTGTCATGTGTGTGGTAGTGAAGGGTGAGGGCGAGCACCTCGTGTGTCATGTGTGTGGTAGTGAAGGGTGAGGGCGAGCACCTCGTGTGTCATGTGTCTGGTAGTGAAGGGTACGGGCGAGCACCTCGCGTGTCATGTGTGGTAGTGAAGGGTGAGGGCGAGCACCTCGTGTGTCATGTGTGTGGTAGTGAAGGGTGAGGGCGAGCACCTCGCGTGTCATGTGTGTGGTAGTGAAGGGTACGGGCGAGCACCTCGCGTGTCATGTGTGGTAGTGAAGGGTGAGGGCGAGCACCTCGTGTGTCATGTGTCTGGTAGTGAAGGGTACGGGCGAGCACCTCGCGTGTCATGTGTGGTAGTGAAGGGTGAGGGCGAGCACCTCGTGTGTCATGTGTGTGGTAGTGAAGGGTGAGGGCGAGCACCTCGCGTGTCATGTGTGTGGTAGTGAAGGGTACGGGCGAGCACCTCGCGTGTCATGTGTGGTAGTGAAGGGTGAGGGCGAGCACCTCGTGTCATGTGTGTGGTAGTGAAGGGTGAGGGCGAGCACCTCGTGTGTCATGTGTGCGGTAGTGAAGGGTGAGGGCGAGCACCTCGTGTGTCATGTGTCTGGTAGTGAAGGGTGAGGGCGAGCACCTCGCGTGTCATGTGTGTGGTAGTGAAGGGTGAGGGCGAGCACCTCGTGTGTCATGTGTCTGGTAGTGAAGGGTGAGGGTGAGCACCTCGTGTCATGTGTGTGTGGTAGTGAAGGGTGAGGGCGAGCACCTCGTGTGTTATGTGTGTGGTAGTGAAGGGTGAGAGCGAGCACCTCATGTGTCATGTGTGTGGTAGTGAAGGGTGAGGGCGAGCACCTCGTGTGTCATGTGTGTGGTAGTGAAGGGTGAGGGCGAGCACCTCGTGTGTCATGTGTCTGGTAGTGAAGGGTGACGGCGAGCACCTCGTGTGTCATGTGTGTGGTAGTGAAGGGTGAGGGCGAGCACCTCGTGTGTCATGTGTGTGGTAGTGAAGGGTGAGGGCGAGCACCTCGTGTGATATGTGTGTGGTAGTGAAGGGTGAGGGCGAGCACCTCGCGTGTCATGTGTCTGGTAGTGAAGGGTGAGGGCGAGCACCTCGTGTGTCATGTGTCTGGTAGTGAAGGGTGACGGCGAGCACCTCGTGTGTCATGTGTGGTAGTGAAGGGTGAGGGCGAGCACCTCGCGTGTCATGTGTCTGGTAGTGAAGGGTGACGGCGAGCACCTCGTGTGTCATGTGTGTGGTAGTGAAGGGTGAGGGCGAGCACCTCGTGTGTCATGTGTGTGGTAGTGAAAGGTGAGGGCGAGCACCTCGTGTGTCATGTGTCTGGTAGTGAAGGGTGAGGGCGAGCACCTCGTGTGTCATGTGTGTGGTAGTGAAGGGTGAGGGCGAGCACCTCGCGTGTCATGTGTCTGGTAGTGAAGGGTGACGGCGAGCACCTCGTGTGTCATGTGTGTGGTAGTGAAGGGTGAGGGCGAGCACCTCGTGTCATGTGTGTGGTAGTGAAGGGTGAGGGCGAACACCTCGCGTGTCATGTGTCTGGTAGTGAAGGGTGACGGCGAGCACCTCGTGTGTCATGTGTGTGGTAGTGAAGGGTGACGGCGAGCACCTCGTGTGTCATGTGTGTGGTAGTGAAGGGTGACGGCGAGCACCTCGGTGTCATGTGTGTGGTAGTGAAGGGTGAGGGCGAGCACCTCGTGTGTCATGTGTGTGGTAGTGAAGGGTGAGGGCGAGCACCTCGTGTGTCATGTGTGTGGTAGTGAAGGGTGAGGGCGAGCACCTCGTGTGTCATGTGTGTGGTAGTGAAGGGTGAGGGCGAGCACCTCGTGTGTCATGTGTGTGGGTAGTGAAGGGTGAGGGCGAGCACCTCGTGTGTCATGTGTGTGGTAGTGAAGGGTGAGGGCGAGCACCTCGTGTGTCATGTGTGTGGTAGTGAAGGGTGAGGGCGAGCACCTCGTGTGTCATGTGTGTGGTAGTGAAGGGTGAGGGCGAGCACCTCGTGTGTCATGTGTGTGGTAGTGAAGGGTGAGGGCGAGCACCTCGTGTGTCATGTGTGTGGTAGTGAAGGGTGAGGCGAGCACCTCGTGTGTCATGTGTGTGGTAGTGAAGGGTGAGGGCGAGCACCTCGTGTGTCATGTGTGTGGTAGTGAAGGGTGAGGGCGAGCACCTCGTGTGTCATGTGTGTGGTAGTGAAGGGTGAGGGCGAGCACCTCGTGTGTCATGTGTGTGGTAGTGAAGGGTGAGGGCGAGCACCTCGTGTGTCATGTGTGTGGTAGTGAAGGGTGAGGGCGAGCACCTCGTGTGTCATGTGTGTGGTAGTGAAGGGTGACGGCGAGCACCTCGTGTGTCATGTGTGTGGTAGTGAAGGGTGAGGGCGAGCACCTCGTGTGTCATGTGTGTGGTAGTGAAGGGTGAGGGCGAGCACCTCGTGTGTCATGTGTGTGGTAGTGAAGGGTGAGGGCGAGCACCTCGTGTGTCATGTGTGTGTGTAGTGAAGGGTGAGGGCGAGCACCTCGTGTGTCATGTGTGTGGTAGTGAAGGGTGAGGGCGAGCACCTCGTGTGTCATGTGTGTGGTAGTGAAGGGTGAGGGCGAGCACCTCGTGTGTCATGTGTGTGGTAGTGAAGGGTGAGGGCGAGCACCTCGTGTGTCATGTGTGTGGTAGTGAAGGGTGAGGGCGAGCACCTCGTGTGTCATGTGTGTGGTAGTGAAGGGTGAGGGCGAGCACCTCGTGTGTCATGTGTGTGGTAGTGAAGGGTGAGGGCGAGCACCTCGTGTGTCATGTGTGTGGTAGTGAAGGGTGAGGGCGAGCACCTCGTGTGTCATGTGTGTGGTAGTGAAGGGTGAGGGCGAGCACCTCGTGTGTCATGTGTGTGGTAGTGAAGGGTGAGGCGAGCACCTCGTGTGTCATGTGTGTGGTAGTGAAGGGTGAGGGCGAGCACCTCGTGTGTCATGTGTGTGGTAGTGAAGGGTGAGGGCGAGCACCTCGTGTGTCATGTGTGTGGTAGTGAAGGGTGACGGCGAGCACCTCGTGTGTCATGTGTGTGGTAGTGAAGGGTGAGGGCGAGCACCTCGTGCTGACAGTGTACCTCACAGTGCTGCAGTTTCTCAAGGTAATAAAAATCCTCTTGGACAAAGCAAGCAAAAATTCAGAAATCTTCCTCAATTACTTTAAAAATTTAAAATGGAATTTCCTTTATTTCTTTCCTCCATCGTTTTCTTTTGATATTTGAAGGTAGATAAACGTACTAAGGCGTTGATTAGTTTTATTTTCCCTACTCATCCTCTGTTTTCTTCCCTTTTTCATCGTTAACACTGAATTAATGATTCAGAATTATTCATGGAGAAACAACAATGGTTGTAATTATGACCTTTATTTTTAAAGGGGTGGACCGGTAAGCCAGCGGAAGGCTTCGGTCAGATAACGAAAAGCTCCAACAGCGGGTCATCATATGGCTAAGACCCGCGTCAGGAAGAACTTGTCCTGTTTCCTGACAAGCCTTACCTAACCTAATCATGGAAAGGCGCTAAATCCGCCAAGTTGGTTGGTTTGTGAGGTTGAAACGCTATCGGCTACATGAGGGATATTAAAGCTGCATGTCCTCTCCAGTAAGGCTCTCTGACGCCGTTGAGGGGCTCTTGATTCAAGAAATTGGATTTTTCATCCTCTTCCTTGGACTGAATTTGATTGCCGCCCATTAAACATTTGGCCCCAATGTTTTTGACAGCACTGTGTGAGTTTAGTATTATGCAGAAATTTAGAAGTTTGGAGATTAAGAGATGTGGAATTAACAAAAGTATTATTTAGAGGGCTGAAGAGGGACTGTTGGGTTATGGTTTGGATATATAGATATGGGGTGGAGAGCAGTCGTGGAGGTGGGGAAATAGTGCCTGTGCACTCTGAAAGAGGGGGAGGGGTGCTGCGGTTTGACGTGTCGTCTGAACTGTGATGTCGGCGTCCTTCTGGCAAGAATGATTAAATGAGTGACACTGAAAGTGTTTTCTTCTTTGTTAGGTTACTTTACCTCGGTGGGAGACAGCCGGAATGTTAAAAATATATATCATCAAAAGTGTATATACCTGGAGCATACCTAGAGAAGGTTTCGGGGGTCAATGCCCCCGCGGCCCGGTCTGTGACCAGGCCTCATGGTGAATCAGGCCCTGATCAGCCAGGCTGTTACTGTTGGCCACACGCATCCTGACGTGCGAACTACAGCCCGGCTGGTCAGTTACCGACTTTACATGCCTGTCCAGTGCCTTCTTGAAGACAGCCAGGGGTCTATTGGTAATCCCCCTCATGCATGCTGGGAGGCAGCTGAACAGTCTTGGGCCCCTGACAATTACTGTGTTGTCTCTTATCGTGCTAGTGGCACCCTTGCTTTTCGTTGGGGGGATGTTGCATCGTCTGCCGAATCTTTTGCTTTCATAGAGAGTGATTTTCGTATGCAAGTTTGGTACTAATCCCTTTAGGATTTTCCAAGTGTATATAATCATGCATCTCTCCCGCCTGCATTCTAGGGAGTACAGGATTGGTGGCCTGGTGGCAAAAGTTCTCGCTTCACACGGTGAAGGGTCCGGGTTCGATTCCCTTCGACGGAGTGGAAGCATTGGACGTGTTTCCTTACACCGGTTGTCTATGTTCACCCATCAGTAAAATGGGTGCCTGGGTGTTAGTCGACTGGTGTGGTTCGCATCCTGGGACAAAACTGACGTAATTTGTCCGAAATGCTATGCATAAAACGGGGCTTTCTGTATAGTAGTATGTCATTGATGTCAGCTAGGACTGTATACCTTGTACATATACTTGTAGTAAATAAAGATAATAATATTATTATTATTATTATTATTATTATTATTATTATTATTATTATTATTATTATTATTATTATTCAAGCATTCCCAGTACTTGAGGTGTTTTATCGCAGTTATGCGTGCTGTGAAGGTTCTCTGTACACTTTCTAGGTCAGCAATTTCACCTGTCTTGAAAGGTGTTGGTAGTGTGCAGCAATATCCCATCCTAGATAGAACAAGCTACCTGAAGAGTGTCATCATGGGCTTGGCATCCCTTGTTTTGAAGGTTCTCATAATCCATCCTGTCATTCTAGCAGATGCAATTGATACAATGTTATGGTCTTTGGAGGTGAGATCCTCTGACATGATCACTCCCAGGTCTTTTACATTAGTTTCTCGCTCTGTTGTGTGGTTGGAATTTGTTTTATACTCCGATATAGTTTTAATTTCCTCACAGTTTCCATATCGGAGTAATTGAAATTTCTCATCATTGAACTTCATATCGTTTTTTTGCGGTCCATTTAAAGATTTGGTTGATGTCCGCCTGGAGACTTGCGGTGTTTTCAATGGAGGACACTGTCATGCAAATTCGGGTGTCATCTGCAAAGGAAAACACGATGCTGTGGCTTACATAAGAACATAAGAAAGACGAACACTGCAACAGGCCTACTGACCCATGCGGAGCAGGTCCATGTCCCCCCCCGGATTAGACCAATGACCCCCCCCCCGGATTAGCCCAATGACCCACCCAATCTGATCATCTCCACTCAAGGATGGAGCACTGCACCAGACCCAGCAGCACAAGCTAGTCAGGTCCAACTCACACCCACCCACACCCACTCATGTATTTATCTAGCCTATTTTTAAAGCTACACAACGTTTTAGCCTGAATAACTGTACTCGGGAGTTTGTTCCACTCATCCACAACTCTATTACCAAACCAGTGCTTTCCTATATCCTTTCTGAATCTGAATTTTTCCAACTTGAAACCATTGCTGCGAGTCCTGTCTTGGCTGGAAATTTTCAGCACGCTATTTACATCCCCTTTATTTATTCCTGTTTTCCATTTATACACCTCGATTATATCCCCCCTAATTCTACGCCTTTCGAGAGAGTGCAGATTCAAGGCCCTCAGTCTATCCTCATATGGAAGATTTCTGATACATGGGATCATCTTTGTCATCCTCCTCTGTACGTTTTCCAGAGCATTTATATCCATTCTGTAATACGGTGACCAGAACTGAGCAGCATAGTTTAAATGAGGCCTAACCAAGGATATATAGAGTTGAAGAACAACCTGAGGACTTCTATTATTTATACTTCTAGATATAAAGCCAAGAATTCTGTTAGCTTTATTGCGAACACTAATGCACTGTTGTCTTGGTTTTAGATTACTGCTAACCAGAACTCCTAAACCCTTTTCGCAATCAGTAGTATTAAGATCTACATTATTTAGTTTATATGTGGCATGGTTGTTGTCCTGTCCAACATTTAGAACTTTGCATTTGTCAATATTAAACTGCATCTGCCACTTCGACCATTGCATCAGTCTATTCAAATCATCCTGGAGTGCTCTAGTGTCCTCATTAGAATGAATTGAATGGCCTGTTTTGGTGTCATCAGCAAATTTGCTTATGTCGCTATTTATTCCCTCATCTATGTCGTTTATGTAAATTGTGAACAACAACGGGCCCAACACTGACCCCTGAGGAACACCGCTTGTGACGTGCCCCCATTCTGATTTCTCCCCATTTATGCAAACTCTCTGCTGTCTATTTGTCAGCCATGCTTCTACCCAGGAAAAAATTTCTCCTCCTATTCCGTGTGCCTTAAGTTTCCTCAATAGCCTCTGGTGTGGAACTCTATCGAAAGCCTTACTGAAGTCCATATACACGATATCATATTCATTACCATGATCTACCTCCTCAAACACCTTAGTGAAAAAAGTTAGTAAATTCGTAAGACAGGAACGCCCCTTTGTAAAACCGTGTTGAGATTCATTAACCAATCTGTGCCTGTCAAGATGGCTACGAATTGCTTCGGCAATTATTGACTCCATAAATTTTCCCACTGTGGAGGTAAGGCTTATTGGTCTATAGTTCGAAGCCATCCCTGTCTGTCAGATAGAGAGTGAGGAACAGGATGGGAGCGAGTACTGTGCCTTGTGGAACAGAGCTTTTCACCGTAGCCGCCTCAGACTTTACTCTGTTTACTACTACTATTTGTGTTCAGTTTGTCAGGAAATTTTAGATCCATCTACCAACTTTTCCTGTTATTCCTTTATCACTCATTTTGTGCGCTATTACACCATGGTCACTCTTGTCAAAGGCTTTTGCAAAGTCTGTGCATACTACATCTGCGTTTCGTTTATCTTCTAAAGCATCCAGGATCTTGTCATAGTGGTCCAGTAGGGGCTATGTCTGATGTTTTTACCAGCTGTGGGACGACCCCTGTGTCCATGCTCCCTCTCCGTAAGATGTTATAAGCACATGATAGGGGCTTCTTGCACTTCGTGATGAATACGGAGTTCAAAGAGTCTGGACCTGGGGCAGAGTGCATGGGCATGTCGTTTATCGTCTTTTCGAAGTAATTTGGCGTCAGAATAATATCAGATAGGATCGAGTCTACCAAATTCTGTGTCTTTCTCATGAAAAAAATTAATTTAGGTCTTCGACTCCGTCTGGTTAGCAGCTCACTAAAAACCGAGTTATATTGGGACTTGAATAGCTCACTCATTTCCTTGCTGTCATCTGTGTAGGACCCATCTCGTTTAAGTAGGGGCCCAATACTGGATGTTGTTCTAGACTTTGATTTGGCATAAGAAAAAGAGTTATTTTGGGTTTCTTTCAATTTCATTTATGGCTTTTAGTTCTTCCCACGTTTCTTGACACCTGTAAGATTCCTTTAGCTTTAGTTTGATGTTTGCTATTTCTCTGCCAGTGTCTCCCAACGTATTACAGATACATTGGTCTCTTATAGCCGCTCTGTTATTCTTAGCTTTCGCCTGTATAGGGAGCACCTTTCTCTTACTAGTTTACATTTTCTTTTCCTTGAAGGAATATGCCTTGAGCATACCTCGAGTGCCACAGAGTTAATTTGTTCTAGACATAGGCTTGGATTCGTGTTGCTTATGCTATCTTCCCAGTTTATATCATTTAGGACCTGGTTTACTTGGTCCCACCTTATGTTTTTGTTATTGAAGTCGAATTTGGTGAAGGCTTCCTCGTGACTGATCACATTTCGTCGGTCTGGGGCCCCGCGCATACATGTATGAACCTCTGTTATGTTGTAATCTGAATATATTGTTTTTTGATGTGGTAACATTTCGTATCGGATCATCATTGTTAGTGAAGATGAGGTCCAGTGTATTCTCCAGTCTAGTAGGCTCTGTTATTTGCTGGTTTAAGGTGAATTTGGTGCAGAAATTTAAAAGCTCGTGTGTGTGTGTGTGTGTGTGTGTGTGTGTGTACTCACCTAGTTGAGGTTGCGGGGGTCGAGTCCGAGCTCTGTGTGTGTGTGTGTGTGCGTGTGTGTGTGTGTGTGTGTGTGTGTGTGTGTGTGTGTGTGTGTGTGTGTGTGTGTGTGTGTACAAGTTTTCATCTGAGCTGCCTCCTGGTGTTATCTCTGATATATTATTCGCTACATTCCTCCACTTTAGGTGTGTATATACATTACGATACAGATACTTTTTAGATTATATGTACGAAGTGTCATTGCCAAATTTTCTTTAGGAAACAAGAAAACAACTTTCTTTGGATTTTAATTTTCAGATATATGTCACGTTTATTATGTATACGTATTGCTAAATCATTAATGAAGATGAACTGGTAAAATTACATCTATAATTATACTACTGGTATATAACACCGACAAACAGATGAGATGCATGTGTCTTATTCATCTAAAAGTATAACTGTAGATGAACCTCATAATTTATGGCATACACTCCACTCTACAGGTGGTGTGTATTTTGCCAAAATAACAGTGAATAAATGATGGTAACTGCGTTACTATTTTTGGGTGACACTACCTTGTTGGGAAGCAGCTAATATGACCAAAAATAATGACAACTGTAATAATAATATACGAAGTTAGTATTGACAAATTACTTTCATCACACTGTGCGTGTATTAATCAAATCATTGATGAAATCCCATGTGAGATCAGCGTTGCTGCCTCGACACGAACAATGACATCTGTCATAACATCTTACCATGTCAATGAAAGGCACACAGATTACATGTGATAAGCATAGCTTCTTATAGTCTAAAGTTTACATAAAAGTTGTAAATTTTAAACGCTAAAACTATATTGTTAATACTAATGTTGTATATAATAACCAAGACTACTTATAACTGCTTTTACTCTATACAACATTATCACTGAGTACGAAATGATTTCAGATCTCACTAGGTTTCATATACAGAAAGATATGTTTTATGATGTTACGAAGGGCGAATGGCAGTAGCGGGTTGTTCATGTAGGGGACATGCTTAATGAGGGCAGGATCTGTAATAGACGTATTCAGTGACGGAGGACGTGTAGTAGACGTGCTCAGTGATGTAGGACTTGTAATGGGCGCATTTAGTGAGAGAAGACCCATAGTGGGTATGTTCAGTGGCAGTGGACCTGTGGTGGACGTATTTAGGGACGGTAGACCTGTAGTAGACGTGTTCAGTGAGGGGGGGGGCTGTAATAGACTTGTTCATTGAGGGAGAACCTGTAGTGGACTTTTTCAGTGAAGGAGGGTCTGTAGTGGACATGTTCAGTGAGGGTGTACCTGTAATGGGCATATTCATGAGGGATGACCTGTTGTGAACGTGTTCAGTGAGGGGGGGGGACCTGTAGTGGACGCGTTCAGTGAGGAAGGAAAAGTAGTGGACGTGTTTACTGGCCCTAAAACATTGAGGAAGTGAAGACTTGCAGGGAAAAAAAAGTCTATTGGGACAGTGTTTGACTCAGGGCTTTCATCAGGTTCTAAATTAAGTTCTAACAGAACGAAACGTGTTGATAAAGGCCATTACTGCACCGTGTCTTTTTTTCAGTATTGTCGGCAGTAGGCCGTGTGTATCCTAGGAGGAGCTGTAGGGCTGAGAGATAAGATCGGAAGAGGCCTATGATTATCAGGAGATTCTTGAGTATGTAATCCTGGCAGATACACTCGGAAAATAGATTTCTTGCATCGTGTCAGTGTGTGTGGGAAGTAAGCAAGGTCATCCAAAATTATATATCACATTAATGGCATACGATACAGATAAGTTCGATTAAATATAGCGAGACAATGAGAGGTGGTCATCATTCTCAGGGTGAGCTAACGAAAGGACAAGAGGCTGAATACTGTAACTAGTGTGGTGAGATATTGTAATCAGTGTGGTGAGGTACTGTAACCAGTGTAGGGAGATACTGTAACCAGTGTAGTGAGATACTGTAACCAGTGTAGTGAGATACTGTAACCAGTGTAGTGAGATACTGTAACCAGTGTAGTGAGATACTGTAACTAGTGTAGTGAGATACTGTAACCAGTGTAGTGAGATATTGTAACCAGTGTAGGAGATACTGTAACCGTGTAGTGAGATACTGTAACTAGTGTAGTGAGATACTGTAACCAGTGTAGTGAGATACTGTAACCAGTGCAGTGAGATACTGTAACCAGAATAGTGAGATACTGTAACCAATATAATGAGATACTGTAACTAATGTTGTGCATTGATCAGTGTTGCCAGGGATACGAGTACAGTGCTGTGAGGTGTGTACTGGGCTGGTACTGAATGTGCCTCATCATGATCAAAAGTACACTTTGTATTGATATGCTTTCATTAAATTAATAACGTCTTTATTGGTTTGGCTTGGTTCAAACCTTCCTCACATACGTAACAGTATGCTTAAGTATTTACTCCCGTAAGTGCAAATATAGGTAATTGACACTCATACAGGTACAACCACCAGAAGAAAAAGATCACATTGAACACTGCTCCTCTGGTAACACTTAACAAAAACATTGTCATATTATACTTACAAATTTTTTTTATAGATTATGTTATACAGACTTGAGTGTGGAGACTAGTGCTTACAGAGGAAGGTTAACGGGTACAGCCAGCGAAGCATCTTAGACAGCATAAGCAAAATCTCTCCTGAATCTAATATTTAAAACATCAAAATAATTCAGGGTTCCAACCCAACTGATTTTACATCTTTTTAAGAAATGTAAACAGTAAAAAGGAATTCTTTAGGGAGTGCTGAAATTCATGTGTACTACACCACGCTGGCTACTGGACGACGTGGCTCGAAGAGGGACAAGTTTGGGGTTCCTCTTTATCTGCTGGTGCAGGATTGAGCCCAGTCTACCGCCTTCATTGACAGTTTCCACGTTAGCGTCTGCGCCACCATTCACGGCAGAAGCAACGGCCACGGTTTGTGACGAACATATGGTGACGAAGCTGTCAATGGGCTCGTTGTTGAGATTTGGGCAACGGAAGTTGTCGAAGCAACCGCTGACCGTCTCGTTAGTAGCGATCCAGCAGCAGCGATCATCACATGTGAAAGGGTTACCTGTGTGGAGACATGAATCGCATACCTGAGTAAATATTAACTCCTGGCATTTATTATTAACAATCTAAGAGAACATCCTGGGTTTAGATGACCAGTACCTATGAATACTGGGCAGAATATTGGAGAAAGTGCAAGCGAGCGAGCAAAAGAGGTCGCAATATAACGGGAAAATGCAAAGATTTGAAAAATATAGTGCATATAAGATTTATTCTGTTCCTCCTCACAAATGAATTACATGTCACTACATTGAATGTAATGTCAAGCAACAGTGATAAGAATTGTGTAATTGTTACAAGATATAATTACTGTTGCGCCCAATACAGGGAGGAGTATTGACTTAGGATTCCGCTTGTGCATTCTCAATGAAAACGTCTTTCACCTTTCCATAAGATAATTATTTTGACTACCTCAACTATTCAAAATATTTATTTAGAATATTATACCCAAGATCAAAATCTCAAATAATAAACAGTTGCTTTGGGCTAATTACCTTATCCTTCTATTCTCCATCCTTATGTGACCAATTCCATCTTTTCTTCCCTCTCTCGAGTCTCCCTCCTATCAGTCCACTACTCTCGCCTCTTCTACTTTTGGCCAATCACCCCTTACTCCTCCAGGGTAAATGCTTTTTAATATTCCGCTTATCAGCCACAGCACCCAAGTTCTCACCCCCTCTCGTACATCTCCTCCCTCACCCCAACTAAACACTGGTTATAACCACTGCTAAAACGGAAAAAAATCACACGACTTTTATGATGCAAGAATCGAGAGACGCCATCATTCTTCCACGAAAAAGATTGCAACATCGTTAGGAAAGCTTGTTCCGGTCCCTCACCATCTGGGTCAACCGAACATCAAAAACACTTCATCACAGTTTGAGGCTCCTGTCTAAGGCAAAGAAGCCAACGAGTATCGTATGAATGGAAAAAGAAAAAAAACATATCTAGGACTGGGAAATGAAAGATACTCCCTCTGTACAAGAAATGAAGTCAAGTAAGTTCTAGCTAAAATCATGTAACTCGTGAAAATCAAGTCTCTTATTTATTTATTTATTTATTTATTAACAATTTGAGCATACATACAGAGGTACAAAAAAATACAGATAAGAGCAGCATGCCAAAGCCACTTATACTATGCATAGCATTACGGGCTGGCTTAAAATTAACTTAAGATTAACTAAGCAATGATGAAATCAGTGATAATACATTATTGTAAACAGATAACTATAAAGCACAAGTGAGTATTACAAAGACAGGTCATATGGTTGCTTGCATTGTTGTACATTCAGTCGTATGGAGTATTCTGTTAGGTAGTGTATTTAAAAAATAATAAAGTTAGGTTGGGTTTTAGGTTTAACATTTATGTGATATAATTGTGAGAAACATTTAAGATATACAATTTATAAGGTTCAGTTATTCAGTATTTATTTGGTTTTGGGTGAGTAAGTGATCTTTGAGAAGAGACTTGAATTTATAAACAGGTAGTGTTTCTTTTATATTTACAGGTAATGAATTCCAAATTTTAGGGCCTTTTATGTGCATTGAGTTTTTGCATAGTGTGAGATGGACACGAGGAACATCAAAGAGTGATCTGTGCCTCGTGTTATGGTCATGTGTTCTGTTGAGGTTCGCAAGGAGATGTTTGAGGGGAGGGTTAATATCAGAGTTAAGTGTTCTATGTATGTAATAGGTACAGTAATAAGTATGGATGTTTTGTATGGTGAGTAGGTTTAGTGTATTGAATATTGGTGGAGTGTGCTGCCTGTAGTGAGAATTTGTTATCATTCTAACTGCAGCCTTTTGTTGGGTAATTAGTGGTCTGAGATGGTTAATTGTTGTTGAGCCCCATGCACAAATTCCATAGGTGAGATAGGGGTAAATAAGAGAGTGATACAGGGCCAGGAGGGCTGACTGTGGAACATAGTACCGTATCTTCGATAGTATGCCTACAGTCTTGGAAATTTTCTTAGAAATTTGTTGTATATGTGTATGAAATTTGAGTCTATTATCAAGGTGGATTCCTAAGAATTTTCCCTCTGTTAGCTTTGTGATAGGTGATCCGTTTATCATTATGTTAAGAGGGACATCTGTAGCTCGGTTACCAAACTGAATGAAGTAGGTTTTGTCAATGTTTAGTGTAAAGTTTGTTAGTCCTCATCCGGGTAGATATTTTCTGTAATTCGGTATTTACAGTATTGGCTAGCGTGACTGGGCTCGGGTAAGAGAAGACGTATGTAGTGTCATCTGCAAATAGTGTGGGTTTGAGTAATTGCGAAGCATTTGGAAGGTCATTTATATATAGGAGAAAGAGAAGAGGGCCAAGGACACTTCCCTGTGGGACACCAACTGTAATTGGTTGCGCAGAAGAGTTTGCCCCATTTGCGTACACATATTGGCTTCTGTTAACATAAGAACATAAGAACGAAGGAACACTGCAGAAGGCCTACTGGCCCATGCAAGGCAGGTCCAAGTCTCCTACCGGCTTAAGCCAATGCACCCAACCTAGTCAGGTCAGGTCACATTGACTTAAGGGAGGAACACGGCAACCGACCTGGTAGCACAAGCTATCAGGTCTAACTCACACCCACCCACATCTACTCATGTATTTATCCAACCTATTTTTAAAGCCCACACAACGTTCTGGCCTCTATAACGGTATTTGGGAGTTTGTTCCACTCATCCACAACTCTATTACCAAACCAGTACTTTCCTATATCCTTCCTGAATCTGAATTTTTCCAACTTAAAACCATTGCTGCGAGTCCTGTCTAGGCTAGATATTTTCAGCACACTATTTACATCCCCTTTATTTATTCCTGTCTTCCATTTATACACCTCAATCATATCCCCCTAATTCTACGTCTTTCTAGAGAGTGCAGTTTCAGGGCCCTTAGTCTATCCATATAGGGAAGGTTTCTGATACATGGGATCTAACTTTGTGTCATCCTCCTTTGTACTTTTTCCCAGAATTTATATCCATTTGTAATACGGTGACCAAAACTGTGCAGCATAATCTAAATGAGGCCTAACAAGGATGTATGAGTTGAAGAACAACCTGAGGACTCCTATTATTTATGCTTCTTGATATGAGCCAAGGATTCTATTAGCTTTATTGCGAACACTTATGCACGTTGTCTTGGTTTCAGATTACTGCTAACCAGAACTCTAAATCTTTTTCGCAATCCGTAATATTAAGATCTACATTATTTAGTTTATATGTGCATGGTTATTGTCCTGTCAACATTAGACTTTGCATTTGTCTATATTAAACTGCATCTGCCACTTCTCCGACACTGCATCGTCTATTCAAATCTTCTGGAGTGCTGAATGTCCTCGTCAGATGAATTCGACGGCCTATTTTGGTGTCATCGGCAAACTTGCGATGTCGCTCTTTATGCCCTCATCTATGTCGTTATGTAGATTGTGAACAGCAGGGGGCCCAACACTGACCCTGTGGAACACGCTCGTGACGCTTCCCACTCTGATTTCTCCCATTTATGCAAACTCTCTGCTGCTATTTGTCAACCATGCCTTATCCAGGAAAAATTTCTCCTCCTATTCCAGTGCTTTAAATTTTCCTAAATTTGTCTCTGATGTGGGACCTGTCAAAAGCTTATGAAGTCCATATACACAATATCTATTCTTACTCTTGATTACCTCCTCAAATACCTTAGTGAAAAACAGTTAATAAATTTGTAAGTGCAGGAAGCCCTTTGTAAACCATGCTGAGATTCGTTGATTAATTATGCTTTTCAAGTTTGGCTACGAACTGCTCGGCAATTATTGGATTCCATATTTTCCCACGATGGAGTTAGGGTTTTGGTCTATAGTTGGAAGCATGGACTGTCACTGTTTTGAAAATAGGTATCAATTTGCCATTTCCCTTATTGGCACCATGCCAGTTTGTAGTGATAGTTGAAAAGATTAGCCCATAGGTGTGCTAAGCTCCTCCTTACATTCCTTTGCTGAGGTATGACTTGAGGTAGTTGAGGGAGTGCCCTCTTATACCATAGTGTGACAATTTTACGTGGAGCAAGTCATGGTCAACTGTATCAAAAGCTTTACGTAAGTCAATGAAGATCCCAGTGGGACTTCTTTTTTCTCTATTGCAGTGTATATATGTTCTAGCATGTGTATAATAGCATCATTAGTATTTTTATTAGGCCTGAATCCAAATTGGCAGGGGTTGAGTATGTTTTGGGAGATAAGGAAGGAGTAGATTCGTTTATGAATTAATTTTTCAAAGATTTTTGAGAGAGGGTGTAAGTTGGATATTGGCCTATAGTTATTCAACTCTGTTTGGTCTCCTCCTTTGTGGATCGGGGTGACCCTTGCTATTTTGAGTACTGTAGGGAAGGTGGAGGATTCTATGGATTTGTTAAAGAGTGTTGCAATGATTGGTGATAGCACTTGTGACAGTTTTTGTATATAAAGGGTGGTAAGGTATTTAAATCTCCTGCCTTGTTTTTTAGTGCGTTGATAATAAGGGAGACTTCGTATGGGTTAGTCGGAGCTAGGAACAGTGTGTTCGGGTAGTTGCCGGTGAGGTAGTCATTTGGTGGGGTATCTGAGCTTGGGATTTTATTGGCAAGGTTTTGTCCTATAGTGGAGAAGAAATCATTGAGTCTGTTTGCTGTTTCTGTTGGTGGGAGTTGGGGTTCATCTGATTTTGCTAATTTTATTTCGCTATTTCGTGATATCTTTTTTGTTCCCAGAATTTCTGATAGGGTTTTCCAGGTCTTTTTTATATCACCTCGTAAGTTGGATAATCTGTTCTCATAATACAATTTTTTTGCCCTTCTTATCAGGCTGGTTAGGATTGACGAGTAACGTTTTGTTTGGTCTCTGGTTATGTGACCCATTCTGTACTGTTTTTCATATTGGTGTTTTGTATTTATGGATTTGAGAATGCTGGGTGTTAGCCAGGGACTGTTCAGTCTCTTAGCTGTCATCTGTTTAGTTTTTTTAGGGCAGTGCTTGTTATAGAGGTATTGGGTCTTTTTTAGAAAATTATTAATACATTCGTCAATATCTGTATAGATTTCTAGCTCAGTGTGCCAATCAATGTTTGCTACTGCTGTTGTGAAGTTATTAATGGCTGCCTCATTGTGAAGTCTGAAGGTGACTTTAGTAGTGTCTTGGGGTAGTTTACCAAGAGTTGTTATGAGGAAAGTAGGGTATTTGGTCTGTGGTATTATCTGTAATTATGCCTGATTTTAAAGGGGATATAGTGTTGGTCCAGATGTGGTCAAGTAGGGAAACACTAGTCTCTGTAACTCTTGTAGGTTTTGTTACTGTTGGTAGTAACATACAGTTACTCATTGTGTTTGTGAATTCAGTAACGTGTGGGTCCTGGTCTTGGAGGAGATTTATATTGAAGTCACCTGAGAGTAGTAAGTGATCTTTGTTCATGCGTGCATCAGTTATCATACTTCCTAGGTTTTGACTAAATTGGCTAATGTTTGACTGTGGAACTCTGTAGATGTTTATCACTGTGAGAGGTTTTTGTAGGTATTTGGATTTGAATTTAGCTATTATATATTCCCCATGTTCATCCCTTGTGGAAGTATTAGTGATACATTCTAGTTGGTCTGAGTAGTATATGGCTGTGCCACCCCCTTGTTGGTCTGGCCTACAGTTGTGTATGGCTGTGTAACCAGGAATGGCATAGACATCTGTACTATCAGGCTTTAGCCAGGTTTCAGTTAGTGTAATGATGGACATATTGGCATGTAAGGAATTTAGTAATGCTATGAGGTCATCGTAATGCTTGCTTAAAGATCTGATATTGTAGTTAAAGATAGTTATGTTGTTGTTGGCACTGAGAAGTGCCTTTGATTGTTCTGCAGTGTAGTAATTACAGTAACTGTTTGATTCATTTAAGTCATTAAATAAGAGGTTGGTATCAGGATCAATGCTTGTAATCATAAGATTTGTAGTGAATCTATAGTTAGAATTAAGTATAAAACAAAGTAAATAGTCTTAAGCTAAAATTAAAATGTACGAGTCTAAAAACCTTGCTAAGATTCAGAACACGACGACTAGGACTCAAAACCATGCCCGGGACACAGAATTGAGACAAGGAATCCTTTTAATTGTTCTGGCTATAAAAAAAAGGCCATAACAGAGGGAAGGGAGAGGGGTAGAGCGAGAGCCAGCCTACCTGATACCAAGAACCTGGAGGTTCCGCGTGACAAATCGATGAGAGGCCTGAAGACTGTCTCTTGGAGGGTGATGAGCTGGTTGTACTGAAGATTAAAGGCATACACCTTCACTCCTGCTATCACCCCAGGTCTGCACAGCCACACCCGTCACCACCACCACAGGAACCCCCAAGGTGACAGGGAAACAGCGTTGGGAAGGGAGTTAGCATTGATGGCTTACTAATAAGTTATGTTCATCCCTAGAATGAAGCAGCACGGATCATCTGTCTTCTCTTCATATTAAAGTGTCTATTATATACAGCAAATACAAGAATATAAATGCCTGTCATACAAAAATACAACTGTATGACCCATACGGCTTGACCGCTTATTTTTAATAATAATAGCAATAATGTAAAAAAAAGGAGATGGCGTCTAAAATAATGACTTTTGAATAGTTTGAAAGTATGGTAATATAAAAATAAGTTATGAAATGAGACACATGCACAGTTAGACATTTATTAAAGGATACAAACCATGCCCCGGCCGGGATTGAACCCGCGGTCAGAGAGTCTCAAAACTCCAGACCGTCGCGTTAGCCACTAGACCAGCTAGCCACAACAAGATTCGTCCAACTAGGTATATTTCTACACCATAGGAAGGTTAGCATAGGCACCACTGTGACCACAAATGCAAGTTTTTACAGACGAATCTCCAGCTAGCGTGGCCGTGACGAACTCTAGCTCAAGTCCCTCACTGCCGTCAACATGACTCACGAAATCGTAATGACACGATTGCAAACAAGCCATACCCCGGCCGGGATTGAACCCGCGGTCAGAGTCTCAAAACTCCAGACCGTCGCGTTAGCCACTAGACCAGCTAGCCACAATAAGATTCGTCCAACTAGGTATATTTCTACACAAAAACTTGCATTTGTGGTCACAGTGGTGCCTATGCTAACCTTCCTATGGTGTAGAAATATACCTAGTTGGACGAATCTTATTGTGGCTAGCTGGTCTAGTGGCTAACGCGACGGTCTGGAGTTTTGAGACTCTCTGACCGCGGGTTCAATCCCGGCCGGGGTATGGTTTGTTTGCAATCGTGTCATTACGATTTCGTGAGTCATTAAAGGATACGTTTCGCCACTTGTACCGAAACATTTTCAATAAATGTCTTATTACGTATATGTGTCTTAGTCCCATAATCCGTCGGCATTAACACGAGGGTTACTTACTCGATGTAGGAGATGGCGTTGTGGGAGAGGTCGACGCTGAGGGCGGAGGCGCTGTGGTGGTGGATGGTGAGACTGTTCTCACTCAGCTTACCTATCCTGTTGTGCGATAGATCCAGCATCTCCAGGCTCGGCAGACCTGACAACCACACAAAACATCTTAACTGCCCGTTGATATATGCCTTTGTAGTTATACATTTATGATTTGTAAAACAAAATGAAAATTGTATTTTTAAAATATATATATTATATATATATATATATATATATATTATATATATATTATATATATAATATCTATATATATATATAAATATATATATATATATGAATATATATATATATATATATATATATATATATATATATTATATATATTATATATTATATATATATATATATATATATATATATTATATATATATTATATATATATATATATATATATATATATTATATATATAGAATATATATATTATATATATATATATATATATATATATAATATATATATATATATATATATATATATATATATATATATATTATATTATATGTCGTGCCGAATATGTAAAACTGGTCAATTAGCAAGAACTCATTTAAAATTAAGTCCTTTCTAAAATTTTCTCTTATACGTTTAAAGATGTATTTTTTTCATTAATGTTAATGTTAAAATTTTTAATTTTGCTCCAAAAGAATCTTAGAAAACTTACCTAACCTTATTAAAACAAGAACAATTTATTTTAGCCTAACCCAACTAAATATATTTTAAATTTGTTTACAATAATTTAATACTAAACAAACACAGTGAAATATATTTTTTTCGTTAGGTTCAGAATGATTTTGGCGAAATTATTGCATACACAAATTTTCACTTGTCCTATATGGCAAGATGAGCGTTGCTATTTAAGCCAAGATCGCAAGTTCTGCCTATTCGGCACGACATATATATATATATATATATATATATTATATATATATATATAATATATATATATATATATACACCACACACACACACACTGTAGTAAGCTGCTGAAATGAGATCCAAGACTTGGTAAGGGATACAAACTGAAAATTTAACACATACGTGATAAATGCCGAAAACGGTACGCTACGAGCTCCTGTATGAATACGTAGGTAACTCTCTCTCTCTCTCTCTTCTCTCTCTCTCTCTCTCTCTCTCTCTCTCTCTCTCTCTCTCTCTCTCTCTCTCTCTCTCTTCTCTCCTCCCTCCCTCCCTCCCTCCTCCCTCCCTCCCTCCCTCCCTCCCTCCCTCCCTCCCTCTCTCCCTCTCTCTCTCTCTCTCTCTTTCTCTCTCTCTCCTCCCTCCCTCCCTCCCTCCCTCCCTCCCTCCCTCCCTCCCTCCCTCCCTCCCTCCCTCCCTCTTTCACACACACACGCGCTACAAGAAAGGGGACTACGCAAGCATGAAGAACCTCCTCAACGGGGTTCAGTGGGACAGAGAACTGGCAGGGAAGTCAGTAGACGAGATGATGGAATATGTGACAACAATATGTAAGGAAGCTGAGGAGAGGTTTGTATCCAAGGGTAACAGGAATAATGAAAAAGCCAAGTTGAGCTCGTGGTTCACCCAAAGGTGCAGGGATGCCAAAACCAAGTGTGCTAGGGAACAGAAGAAGTATAGAAGGCAAAGGACCCAGGAGAAAAAGGAGACCAGTCGTAGATCCAGAAATATATATGCACAGGTAAGACGGGAGGCCCAAAGGCAATATGAGAATGACATAGTAGCAAAAGCCAAATCTGACCCAAAACTGTTGTACAGCCACATCAGGAGGAGAACGACAATCAAGGACCAGGTAATCATGCTGAGGAAGGAAGGAGGAGAGGTCACAAAAAACGACCGCGAAGTATGTGAGGAGCTCAACAGGAGATTCAAAGAAGTGTTCACAGAAGAGACAGAAGGGCCTCCAAAAAGGCAGAGAGGTAGGGTACACGATCAAGTGTTGGACACAATACATACAACCGAGGAAGAAGTGAAGAGGCTGTTAAGCGAGCCAGATACCTCAAAGGCGATAGGGCTGGATAACATCTATCCATGGGTCCTGGAGAGGGAGCAAAGGCGCTTTGTGTACCACTAACAACTATCTTCAACACATCTATTGAAACAGGACGACTACCGGAAGTATGAAAGACAGCAAATGTAGTCCTAATTTTTAAAAAAGGAGACAGACACAAAACATTAAACTACAGACCAGTGTCACTAACGTGTACAGTATGCAAGGTCATGGAGAAAATTATCAGAAGAGTGGTGGAGCACCTAGAAAGGAATGAGTTTATCAAAGACAGCCAGCACGGTTTCAGGGACGGGAAATCCTGCGTCACAAACCTGGAGTTTTATGACAGGGTGACGGCAGTAAGACAATAGAGAGGGGTGGGTAGATTGCATTTTCTTGGACTGTAAGAAGGCGTTTGACACAGTTCCACACAAGAGATTAGTGCAAAAGCTGGAGGACCAGGCAGGGATAACAGAGAAGGCACTACAATGGATCAGGGAATACCTGTAAGGAAGACAATAGCGAGTCATTGTACGTGGCGAGGTGTCAGAGTGGGCGCCTGTGACGAATGGGGTTCCACAGGGGTCAGTCCCAGGACCGGTGCTGTTTCTGGTATTTGTGAATGACATGGTGGAATGAACAGACTCCGAAGTGTTCCTGTTTGCAGATGATGTAAAGTTGATGAGAAGAATCCAATTGGATGAGGACCAGGCAGAACTATAGAGAGATCTGGACAGGCTGCAGACCTGGTCCAGCAACTGGCTCCTGGAGTTCAACCCCACCAAGTGCAAAGTCATGAAGATTGGGTAAGGGCAAAGAAGACCGCAGACGGAGTACAGTCTAGGGGGTCAGAGCCTACAAACCTCACTCAAGAAAAAGGATCTTGGTGTGAGTATAACACCGGGAACATCATCTGAGGTGCACATCAACCAAATAACCACTGCAGCATACGGGCGCCTGGCAAACCTAAGAACAGCATTCCGACATCTAAATAAGGAGTCATTCAGGACCCTGTACACTGTGTACGTTAGGCCCATATTGGAATATGCAGCGCCAGTTTGGAACCCTCACCTAGCCAAACATGTAAGGAAATTAGAGAAGGTGCAAAGGTTTGCAACAAGACTAGTCCCGGAGCTAAGAGGTATGTCCTACGAGAAGAGGTTAAGGGAAATCGACCTGACGACACTGGAAGACAGGAGAGTTAGGGGGGGATAATAATGACATATAAAATACTGAGAGGTATAGACAAGGTGGACAGAGACAGGCTGTTCCAGAGATGGGACATAGCAGCAAGGGGTCACAGTTGGAAGCTGAAGACTCGGATGAACCACAGGGATGTTAGGAAGTATTTCCTCAGTTACAGAGTTGCCAGGAAGTGGAATAGCCTGGGTAGTGATGTAGTGGAGACAGGATCCATACATAGCTTTAAGAAGAGGTATGATAAAGCTCACGGAGCGGGAAGAGTGACCGGGTAGCGGCCAGTTGAAGAGGCGGGGCCAGGAGCTGGGACTCGACCCCCACAACCACAACTAGGTAGTACAACTAGGTGAGAACGCACACACACACACACACACACACACACACACACACACACACACACACACACACACAAGGGACAGTGGTTACAGACCTCATTCAAAAAGAAAAACCTAAGGGTGAGCATAGTGCCCAGCATTTCGGCTGATGTGAACTAGATTTGCTAGGCGAGCCAATGCTTGACTAGCAAATCTTAGAGTGGCCTTCAGGAAAATCAACAACGAGTCTTTGCGGGCACTTTATACAATATGTCAGACCTATCTTGGAGCACGCAGAAGTATGCAACAAGGCTTGTTCCTGAACAAAGGGGCATAAGCTACGAGGACAAGCTAACTGAATCGGATCTAACGGCATTGGAGGACAGAAGAACCAAGGGGACACATGAAAACAATATACAAAAGTCTGGAGAATTGATAGGGCAGACAGGGACGAACTGTTTGAGAGGCGAGAAGTAGGAACTAGGTTAGACACAGATGAGCCACAGGGATGTCAGGAAGTATTTCTTCGGTCTCAAAGTGATCGTGAAGTGAAATAATCTCGATGAAGACGTGGGTAGATGCAGGCTCTATAAATACTTTTAAGAACAAGTACAATCGGGGCCCACGAGGCTGAGTAAATCTGGGAAGTGGCAAGCTGAGAGGCTGAGACCAGGAGCCGAGACTTGATCCCTGCAACCACAATAGGCGAGTATTAAGAAGGTGATTACAGGCAGAAACTAAGGTGACCTCACCATTAAAAGTGTAAGGCTCTATCTCGTAGATCATATTGCTCGAGGCGACGAAGATTCTCAGGTGTTCCAGTACTACGCTTGTATATCCAGGGATGAAATCGAGATTGTTATTCTGCAAGAACACTTGCTCCAGGTACGGCTGGTCGCTCAGGGTTGGGAAGTAAACGTTTGCCAATTTGTTCTGACCTATAAAGGATGTAAGGATAAGTTCTCAAGAATTAAGTACAACTAGGTAACTGACGGAGAATTGAATCTCATGATTTAGCTGAATGACATATTTCACAAGGATTTAGCACCTCATATATATAATAATCATCCTCATACATCCGCACTCAAGAGAGGAACCTTATGACCACTCTCCGATTTGTTCTGGACCATTGTCAAGCCATTTCAGACTTAACACTGTCCAGGATGCACTAAAACCTCGTCATAATGTTCCTTTCCTTTCGTCAACAGTGACTTTTTCAGTCCAATACAGAAAAGAGCGGTGGAAGATGAGAAGTTTGATGTAATAAGCCCTCAGTCTGTAGTCGATGTGTTCAGTTCGTCAATCTTGATAAAAATATAGCAAATGGTAGGTAGGTATAATGTTTGTCATGAAACAGGACGTTTCCCAACGCAGATCTTAGTCACATGACCACAGCTGGAGCTTTTGGTCATCTGACCGAGGCCTTCCACTGGCTTACCGGTCCGCCCCTTTAAAAATTATGGTTATCATGATAATCATTTCTATATAATTTCTGTTACAGCAAATGCGTGGAGAAGGTCTTATATATTGCAGACAGGTGAGGTGAAGCAGCGGTAGGTAGCGTCACCAGTGGGAAAAGACCCACTAGTAGAAGTAGATCATGCCTATAGTTCAGGTTGAAATGGAATTCTTCAAATATTGTCTAAAAGTATAGACATGGTCTCCTTACTCTAGTGGGTTTTTCAGCTGCTGACGCCACCAACCACTGCTTCACCTTACGTATCTGATGTATATAAGCCCCTTTTCTGTGAATACGCTGTACTTTCATCAAGACCGATGGACTGAACACATCGACTCCTGGCTGAGGGACTGATTGCTTAAAACTCCTCCTACTATTCTACCGTTCTTCTCCGTAGAGGACTGAAGAAGCCACCCGCTGGCGAAACGTTTCCAGAATATCGACTTGATAATGGTCTAGGGCGGACCGAAATGTCATCTTAACTTTCCTAAGTGAATGAACACGGAACACGGGACTAAGCGTTGAAGGTATCTGCAAGGAATAACATTATGAATAACAATATAATAATTATTATTACTAACAATAATAGTAATAATAGCAGTAGCAATAATAACACTAACAATAATAAAAACAATAACAACAAGAGGAGTGCCGTACCCATGTTCAGTAGCTTGAGCGTATTGTTGAAGGGAAGGAAGGCGTAATTATCTATAGTCTTGAACTGATTGTTCATAAGAATGATCTCCTGGAAGGTAAGGATCCCCCACAAATCCTCCTCAATCATGCAGTTCAGTCTGGTGCCGTCCACGAGCAGTCTGCAACCAAGGAACACATAGTAAACAACACATATTTTTTCAGTCACCCATCCAAAGGGTTGCCTAGGTGCTGCTGAAGGGCACTTTATTGAAGGAGTTGGAGCTACCCTCATTTTCTTTAGATTAAACCTGATTAATTGTGTTTCCCCATGAATTTAAAATAATCTTCAGAAATATTTCGCTTATACCTAAGCTGCAAATAGTTTTTTTCACATCTTTTCTCATAATACTTTGGTAGAATAAAGCCAGTTTCCTGATCGACACCATGCCCAGCTCTTCTAGGGGAGGGTAGGTGCCTGAGCCAGAGCTTGCAGCTCACAAGACTGCCATTCCCATTAGCCCTCTTGGGGCGAGGATGGCAGACCAGAGAGGCCTAGCTTCTCCCTACGAGCCCCGTGAGGGCGGGGAATGTGGCTAGGCCTGGGGACAGTTGGTCCCCATGAGGAGGAGGTACATGTACCTCCTCCCATGGGAGACTTAGGTCTCAGACACTCCCTCGACAGGGAGCCAAGGCCGGGCCACCCCTTGGAAAAGGCCCGGGCCGGGAGAATACCGGCGAATCAACAAGAAGAAGCCAGTTTCCTTATTAATAATCAATTGGTTGCAACCAACCATTAACCTGTAATCAGGTATTTTCAGTACAGTGCAAGTGCGCATATATATCCCATCCCAGATACTCCTGCGCAACACTAGCTAACTAACATGTCTGTAGATAATTGGATGTGGAAATGTTAAAGTAATAGGTACCGTATTTTAGAACAAAAAGGAATATGCAGTCCTAGTATAATTCACAAATAACTCGCACTTGCGAGAGTGAACCTATGACGACGTTTCGGTCTGTCCTGAACAGACCTGAAAAGTCCAAAGGCGAGCTAAAAATGATGATTTTTCGAAGAAATGCTCAAAATTATAGACATGTCTTCATTAGTTGACGGAGAAAGAGGAGACGTGATAACTATATATATAAGATTGTGAAAAGATGCGAAAGAACTGACAAGATTTCCTAACTCCATCAGCAAAAAGATCAGAGACCACAGATATAAACTAAAGAAAAAGAAGTTCAGAAAGTTTGTTAGAAAGTTCTTCACTGTGGGGAATAAATTAACATTTAAGACGACTTCAAAGACTTCATCAACCGAAAACAAGCGCTAAATCCGTATGGATCATACTACTAGATTAATTTCTGTAGTGTGAGGATAACCCATTACAAAGGAAAGAGAAGAGGGGTGCCGTGATGCTGGTGAAAGCTCTTGATCTAAAGAATTGAAGCTCCCCTCCCCTTCCTCGGGTCAAACCTGGTTGCTTCTCATTCCCCAGGCGCTGTATGACCTTTACGGGTGTCGGAGGAGCTTACCTGGAGAGTGCTGCCACTGGCTGAGCTCACCTGAAGTAATCAGTGACGGGGAAGATGACGGCGGAGAGGATCTGCGTCAGCTGAGCACAAGAGGCCAGGTCCGGCCCGCAGCTCAGCTCTGCTGTCGTCGAGTTCACACACGAACACTGCAACAAACAACTCGGTCAACTTAGTACATGCAAACACAGTGCAACAAACAACTCTGGTAAACTTAGTACATATAAACGCACTTTAACAACAATAACTGGTTAACTTAGTATATGTAAACCAGCGATATTTGCACGGTACTCTTTCTTTGATCCAAGAAATTTGAACTACCTTCCCATTCCTCGGATTAAACTTAATTACCTCCTATTCCCACGCCTGTATGACCCTTGGGGTATCTTAGTATTGATGATACACAACACCAACAAGCTGATAAATAGGGCACTTGGGTATATATATGTCGCAATGTTTCGCTTACATAGCAGATGAATATCGTAATAATAGTAATAAAAATAATAATTCTTATTATACTTCTTCCTCTCCTTCATCCTTACTTTCCCCTTCTTTCTCTTTAATTACCGCTCTCCCCTCTCTTTTCCTCTCACCCTCTCTCTTTCTATTCCTCTCTATTCCTCCCTCCATATTCTATATTTCACCATTGTTTTTGTAAACTAAATATTGCGTCCTTTAAAACGGGCTCTAGATAGCCTTCGCTTGTCTAGACGAAGCAACCGAGTCAGTTGGTAATCTTATGCTATCAATGCTACATGGAGGCCGCTCAGAAATTTCTCTCAGTATTTTCTCTAGATCTGTCATATTGATGTACTTTTTCCTGTAAATATGCAACAGTATGGTGGTTCTTCATTTTGTTGTGGTAGTTGTTGTTATTATTCCAATTGTTTATTATTATTGTTGTTATACTACTCTTTATGTATAGATTACAATTCTTTTTTAGATTAATTCTTTTCGATTTTCCTAAAATAATTTAATACTATTAATTAATAGTCACGAACAGCTGATACACTTTCACAGAGATGCGACTGAAAAAATTTATCGTTGCAGATAACACACACACACCTAGGCGAAAAAGCCGACGTAAACATACCGACAAACACACCGACTATGAGAAGAACTGAACCTGATAACATCCGAGTCGCTGGTGGATAAAAGGGGCCAGAGAAGATGTGATTAAAATAGAGAAGATACTGGAAGGACTTTATGGGATGTAGAGGTAAGATTTATCAAGAGGCTGCAATGTGGGGGATACAGGAAACATAGACACGATACAGATACTAAGAAAATGTTTTTTCTAGCTTTAGAATGGCAAAAAAAAAAAAAAAAAAAAAAAACGGAGTGACCTGAAGTGTGAGAGACCAAATTAATGTCTGCATAAATAACTCATTACGAGTGTGACCGGATATAAACATGTAAATAGTTCATTACCACTGTAACTTCTTCAATTATCAAAACTTTGCGGCCCAATCCCTGGACCCCTTATGTACCTCTGTAATGTTTTGACTACCGCCCAGGGATGAGTATGGGGTGCATAATAGTGGCTAACGCGACGGGCTGGAGTTTTGAGACTCTTTGACCGCGGGTTCAATCCCGGCCGGGGTATGGTTTGTTTGCAATCGTGTCATTACGATTTCGTGAGTCATGAAGATGTTAAACTGACCTTGATGAAGTGATGGAGGCAGATTCTGTACACCTTTAAGAATAGGTATAACAGGAGGGAATAAATTCAATTATGGCTTGTTTAGAGGTGGGGCCAAGAACTAGGACTCGAACACCCCGACCACAAATAGGTGAACACACACACACACACACACACACACACACACACACACACACACACACACACACACACACACACACACACACACACACACACAAAATATACGGGATTATCAAGAGAAAAATCACAAATGAAACAGTGAGAAACTCACACTGTTCAATTCAATTCAATTCAATTCAAGTTTAATCTCTATAAGGGTTACAATGTGGGGTTTACAGAATTTGGGTATTTTGTGGTTTACATGTTATAAAATACTAATTACAGAGGGGGCCACTAGGATACCTAGCATGGCTAGGCATTTCGAGCAGACTTAGATTAATTCTTAACATAAAGTCCTTACAGATTATAGTATTAAGGCTAAGTGACTACATCATAATTTTGAGTTTAGCAATGTGAATGCTTTTATTTTGGCACAATACAAAGTGTCTATATTTGAGTAACATAGGCAAACTTATGACTAGTTAGAATTTATTATTTTAAGATTAAGATTAGTATTTCTGGGTTTATAGTCAGTGGGTGAGTGAGTGTAATTTTGAACCACCAGGTGGTTATCATGTAGTTAGTTGTCGGGGTGGATCAGGGAGATAAGATGTTTTCTAACTGTAGTTTTGAGAGTGATGAATGTGTCTGCAGTTCTAGAGTTTTCAGGTAGGGTGTTCCAGATTTTAGGTCCTTTGAAATACATTGAATTTTTGTAAAGGTTTAGTCGAACTCGGGGAATGTCATAGAGATGTTTGTGTCTGGTGTTATGCCTGTGGATCCTGTCACAACTATCAAGAAAGCGTTTTAGGTCAAGGTTAATATTGGAATTTAAGGTCCTGTAGATATAGATTGCACAGTAGTAAGTGTGGATGTTCTGAACAGGGAGTAAGTTTAGATCTATGAAGAGTGGGGGGGGGAGGGTGTTGCCAGGGATGGGATTTAGTGATTATTCTTACTGCGGCTTTTTGTTGGGTTATTATTGGCTTTAGGTGTGTTGCTGCAGTTGAACCCCAAGCACAGTTAGCATAGGTGAGGTGTGGATATATAAGTGAATGGTATAGTGTGAGAAGGGCAGTTTGCGGTACGTAGTATCGTATCTTGGAGAGGATCCCCACCGTTTTGGATACTTTTTTTTGTTATGTGTTGGATATGGGTGCTGAAATTTAGGTTGTTGTGAGATATAGGCCAAGGAATTTGACGTCATTATGTCTGGCAATTAAAGTGTTGTCGATCTTAATGTTAAGTTGCGGAACACCTGCTCTGCTACCAAACATAATATAGTAGGTTTTGCCAGTGTTAAGTGTAAGTTTATTGGCTGTCATCCAAGTCGATATTTTGAGCAGCTCCTCGTTAGCAATGGTGTTGAGGGTGGCAAGATTAGGGTGGGAGATGACATAAGTCGTGTCGTCAGCAAAGAGAATGGGTTTCAAGTGTTGAGATATGTTTGGAAGATCATTGATGTAAATGAGGAAGAGCAGGGGTCCAAGGACACTTCCCTGCGGAACTCCAGTATCAAGTGGCCGTACTGATGAGGCTGTGTCTTTAATGGTGACATAGTGATACCTATTAGAAAGGTAGGATTTAAAATATGCAAGCGCATGGCCTCTTATACCATAGTGGTCAAGATTGTGGAGTAGGATGCCGTGGTCTACTGTGTCAAACGCTTTTCTTAGGTCAATACTGGTAAACTATCAAGAACATTGGAGTATGTGAATAGGGAAATGTTAATAAAAGTTGTTCACAAAGTATGTAATGTCTAAATCGGAATATGCGTACTGAAAAATCACCATGACAGGATAAAAAAATCCAAAGGCGACACACGAGATGGTTCTGAGATATATATATATATATATATATATATATATATATATATATATATATATATATATATATTATATATATATATATATAATTTTATATAAAGAGAAAAACTTATAAAAATTTCATGATTTGATGAAGAGGAAAAAGTAAAATATACTCGTTATGATAGGAAGATAGATAGAAGATAAAAACAAAATTTTCATCACAGGGAGAGTAAGATCATGAAAGAGTATCGTTTATATAACCGACTGTAAAAAATGAAGTGTTGATAAATAACACTGAAGACAAGTCAACTGGGAGAAATTGTGTGGAGTCTCTGTGTGTGAACATGTGTGTATTTCTCACATTATCAACTATCATGTGAAAGCCCATCTGTAGTTATCCTTGTGTTAGTGATACCTCACCTCCCTCCCTCACCTCCCTCCCTCACTTCCCTTTGTCCCTCCTTTCTTCGCGCCGCTGATAACGACCCATCATCGACATGCCTAGTAGGGAAAACATTCCTAGATAACTCGGTCTGTGCGACGTAATTTGTTATTAAATCCATTGGGAAGCCCGAGAAAGCTGGGCTCGCTGCACCCGCCAAAATTTACGTCCGCATATATTAAGACTTTAGTCTTAATATATGCGATTTAGGTGTAATAGGTTGAATAGCTAATGGTAAGTTATGTTAGTCAATAAATTTTATTATTATTATATTATTATTATTATTATTATTATTTTTTATTATTATTATTATTATTATTATTATATATTTTATTATTATTATTATTATTATTATTATTATTATTATTAAAAACGACTTCAGATGAGTGGCCTCAGCTCTGTATATTGAGGGTTGGATTAGGTAGGTTAGGTTAGGTTAGGTTAGGTTAGGTTAGGTTAGGTTAGGTTAGGTTAGGTTAGGTTAGGTTAGGTTAGGTTAGGTTAGGTTAAGTATGAGAGATATAGCATTGAGCATATTGATAAAACTAGGTGAATATGCAGGTTGATAAATATATTAAATAGGGTTTTATTGGCAAATGTTGAATATACAGGGTAAAGAAGATTTAAAATAAGTATATTTATGAGTTATACTAAAAATTGGATTTAGGCTTTAGTTATGATTATAATAATAATATACTAAAAAATAAAGTATAAACCGGAAATATAAAGAAATATCATAAAATCATTATATATGAGTGGGAATTATGTTGAAACCAGGATACAAAGTGTAATATTGTAAGTACAGACAGAATTAGATATCTTAAAAAAAGAGGAAATTTGTGTGAATTCTGTACTAAAACTAAGATAAAAAAAAGTGGGGTAATATTATAAGTATAAACAGCTGGTATATTAACAAAGGAATACTAAAAAGTATATTGTATTAAAAAAAGTATATTTGGGAAAAGACTAATTTAGACACAAATGTGAGGGTTAAATACATAGACAGATGAAGCGGGGATGAAATAAGTAATGAAAATACAGTATTAAGAAATTTCTTAAAATAAGTTTAATTGGGTAGAAATTATATGGAAAATAGGGCAAAAAGATTGTGGGGATATTACTGTAGGAGAAAAATAG